GAGGAACGTGCCATATTGATCTACAAATTGACTCATGAAATCAAGGTGGATGTTGGCGTACTCATCTTTCAACAGATTCTGAGTCTGAGAAAGGTCATAAAAGGAGACCATCGTTGGTTGAAGTTTCCGTGTCTGATCAGCAAAGTCATCAAACGACAACATGTGCTACAACTGGAAGATGGAGAAGCCTGGGTATTCCCAACCAAGTACAAGAAGATCCTCGGAGTGGAGCAACTTTTCTGGAAAAGGAGGCAGCTGCTGCAGCAACTGAGAAAGCCAAGGGTAAGAAGAAGAAGGATACCAGGAGGAAGCCTCAGACAGGGTCTACTTCTCAGTCAGCTCGTGAACCTGAACATCACCCATCTGCTGCTTTTGAACCATCCGCATCAACTGGTCTATCTCTTGAAGTAAACCTTGGAATATTCCGTTGAACCAGAAGCTCCAGAAAGTGCATAGAGTCTTAGAACAGCACTCGAGGTTGTATCCACAGCACTGCAGAGTCTTGGAGTGATCACGACGATGCTTCACCAGGCAATTACAAGTAAGTGTGCCTAACTCTTTCAATCGACTATCTGTATGTGGATTGATGTTTTTTTTAATTAACATGTGTGCTCGCAACAGGAGGAAAAATCTGAATGTCGAAGGATGCAAGACTTATGGGGAGTAGTAGTTTTTTTAAGGGGATTCATGTCATTTCTTTTGATTCTGGGGGAGTAAAGAGAGAGTGTCAAAGGCTTTTTTGTTTTACTGTTTATCTCCTTGAACTCATTTTTTGCTTAAGACATGGTACTCCATTTTTAAGATTTTTTATCTGGAATTATTTCAGAATGCTTGGTGTTTGCGTATATTGGCTTGTTTGTGGTTGTGTCTTTGTTGCACTTGTGAGCAGGTACTTGTGAGGCACACATGCTAAAAAAAAGAGAGATTAAAGCTGCAAATAAAGCCGTATCAGCATGTGTACCAGTCAAGCTGGCTCAAGGGATAATACAGAGAAGACTTGCGGAGCAAAACATACATGGAAGGAAGCTTATAGTTGAGTTGGAGCTATTGGACACGCTAGATTCTTCAAGAGACAAGAAGCTGATTTGGACAAGGAGATTGGAGTATCTTGTAGACATGTTGAAGAATTGTAAAGTTTCTTTATTCTTAGGAGAAGATAAGGGAACAGAAGATTCACTCGAAGATTTGGAAAAATCGACAAGGGGAGTCATGACTAGGGTTAGTCGCAAGTCTTATTGAATATAAATAGGCGTGTTGAAGCTTCGTATGAGCTTAACACAACTGAGATTATTCTTAGCAAATGGTGAGCGATTATCTTGTAAGAGATTGTGAGCTAGAGTGCTAAAAGATTTGAATGACAGGATCTTGAATCACGTATAGATTCGAAAACAGGGCGAAGCTAGAACAGCAAATCAAGGTGTGTCATGAGTTTGTTTTATGTCGATTGACTAAAAAAACACAAGAGTTTATAAAACATGTGTCATCAATGATCAATCATAATCCTATGCATGATGCATCTAAGTCTTAATATAATGAGGTAAACTAGATCTTATAAAAAAAAAAAAAAAAAAAAAAAGAAAAGAGTAACTAGATACTAAATGATATTGTATTGAATATTGAGCTATTTTTCTCTGATTATTAAAGTAAGTGCATTGTGTAAATATCAGGACACACTAATCCAAAACATCTCCCATACTCGTAGATTTTTGAAAGTTTACGGAGATTCAAGGTAAATCCATAAATATTTATTCCTGACATTTGATCGTAGTACTCTTTGAACTACTTTGTCCTATACATAACCTGATTTAAAGCAAACTCATGTATTAGGATTATTAATCAAAACTATGATCTTTTTATATATTTACAAGATTATGATATGTTTCTGCTTACTGAAAGTCTGAAAGAGAGAATTAAGGAAAAAAAAATCATTTTCTAATGTTAATATTCTGATTTTTGTTTCTTAATTCAGAATATTAATAAACAAAGTAGGAATGTATATTAATAGTAAATCTGCATCAATAAAATAGTTATGTAAAATATCTTTTTGGAACAATCTTGAATATAAATTTAAAAGATCAATACCTGAAAATGAGTACTAGATTCTATTTTGTGCGTCCGCAAAGAAATTTTTTTTATCTATCAAATTTTGTAATATATTTTGTGTTTTTGTTTTTACTTAGATATAATTTTCTAATAAGTGAAAAAGATATTTTTTGTTTAGATATAAAATTTGTTTTTATTAATTTATTTTTTTTTAGTATTATATATGACTGTGATCAGAAAAATATTATTCTAATCCGTCTGTTCATATTAACCGAAAAATACCATGATTATAAAAACCTCATTATAACATGTCAATTTATATTAATCTGAAAAAACAGTGATTATTAAAAACATAATACTAATTCGTCGATTCCTATTAGTTATATATTTTAAATTTTTATTAAGTTTGAATATTTAAATTTTAGACGTATTTATGAAAATACATAATAATATATTATTTGCATCTCTGTCATTGTGAAATATTATTAAAATTTGAATATTTAAATTAAATCTAAATTAATATCTAATTTATTATTTTTGGAAAAATATAATAATAATTTATTTAATAATTTTTAATAAATAATATAACATATATTTAAAGAAATCTATAATAAATCTAAATTTAAATTTAAATTTTCAGATTTATATTAAAATATAAATTAAAATATATTATTTTATTAATATTAAACTAAATTGACTTGGTTAGTAGTATAAATAGGAATTATCTAAAAACAGAATAGCTTAAAATGTAAAACAATTATGTTTAGACACAAAAAAAAAAGTTTTTGTTTTAATAGAATAGAAGTTAAAATATCAAAACCAAATGAGTAAGTATTTATGATAAAATAAAGAATAACAAAATATTAAAATTTCATTTAAAAGTATATGAGAAAGTTAAAAATTTGAAGTGTTAGATCATAGAGTGGCACATTGCATTATAAACTCATCAAGTTATCACATTTTGACACACACTGGCTAATTTATTTGATTCGAGTTTATATGGTCACTACAAGAAAACAGTCGTTTTACGTCGGCCGAAATCGATGTAAAATCATCGCAAATAGGCAGTTGCATCGAATTACTGTCAATTTCTGGTTCTTTCGTAAATCAAGCATCATAAACCGAGGATCATTGTAAATTTAACGTAAAATTAGCAACGATTTAAAATCATCATAAATTCGACGCGTTATAATCATCGTAATTTTAATGCAATGTTTACGTCGAGTTTACGACGGTTATAACTCTATCAAAAAATTGATGTAATTTCGATGTAAATTTACATTGATTTTACATCGATATCTCAATAAATAAAAAAAAATAAAAATTTATAAAATTCATAAGGATGTAAGATTGTCGTAAAATATCGACGGGAATTGGATGCAAACAAAGATAACGTAAATTCAACGCAAATGATTCGACGCAAATGGTTCGACGTAAAACTGTCATAAATAATTCAATGTAAATTGGTTGATAAATTACGTCGATTTTACATCAATTTTCAAAAATATAATTAAAAAGTCACAAAGAATAAAATTATAAAAGTCAAATAAATTCAAAAATATTTACAAAAATATAAAATAAAAAAATTAGGTTTCATTTAAATTATTACTAATTCGTCTATACTAATATTCTCGTCAGCATTGACGGTAGACGGTGGCTGGTCCTCGCCGGTACCACTCTGTGGAGCCGAAGTGGACCCCTGATGCTATCGATGTGGCTCCTGCTCCTCCTGCTCCTACCACTCCTCCTACTGACGCCTTTCCTTCTCCTTCAATGCGGCTTCTAGCATCGGGTTGCTGGCCGTAATAATATCGAATAAGTTGTTCATCTTGAGGATCTACCGGCGTTTCACGACTTGCTCAGCCCGCAAAGTTGTGATCTCCGTGTTGGCGACCTCTAGCTGTTGCGACCGAATAATCCCGGATCCTCGTGAATCCGTCCAGAATATGCGTCTGAATAATCCCGGATTGAGTCCATCCCTAAAATCTGACCCGTTTTTCTCAGATCAACCTACAAATATTTGTAATTATAATGTTATAGAATTCAAAAACTTGAATAATAAAAAATATTAACGAAAAGTTAAAAAAAAAAAGAATCAATTACCTCTTTGAAGATCTGATCTTGTTCGAAGAATGTTATAGAAATATAAATCAACTTAAAATTTTGATGGAAATCGGTTGTTTTCTTGTAGTGGATATTTTTTTTTTAGATTTTAATATACAACAATAGGACCATAGGTGGTTAAACCAAATCCTTTAACTCCACCATATGGGAAAATATATAGTACCGTACCCATAGTAAGTGTTTTGACATTTGAAACATTAGTTTAGGGCCTAATTTAAAAAAAACATTTTGAAGAGTCTATTTTAACAAAACATATTAAATTGTAATTTAAAAAGCACATTTATATTTTTAAGCTTAGAAGACATATTTTTTGTTCAAATCCCTACGAAGTTTCTAAATTTTTTCTCACGTATCTAAAATTCACGGTGTAGTTTCAATAGGAAAATATTTGTTTTTATTAATTGTTGTCACATATTCATCCCCAGAAAAATTTTACAATTGCAATCCAAGAAAATGAGGGTAGTAATTGATTACACTCAGACGGGGTCGAAGAACTTAAAAAAAAAAAAAAAAAAAGAATTCTAACAAAGGAATATCCGGATATCCTAAATGAAAAACAAAAAGAACTGGGAAAATGTAAATCTTATATATAAAAATGAATTTTCTCTGACACGTCATCACCTGTGAAGATGACACGTGTCCTTTAGTTTTAATTAAAAAAAACTTAAACAGTTTTCCTTAATCTCCCTTTTATGTCGTGTCGTTTTATTAATCCTAAGTTTAAACTTCATCGGATTTCAAAATCAAAAATCGGACGACTCATTCTCCCCCAGCGGAAGAGTTACAAAATCCATGGCCTCAGTAAAACTTTGCATATTTCTCTTTCTCTTTCCATAAAATTTTTGTGCTTAGAAAAGGAAAAAAATAACAAACCTTCAAACCCTTGATTATCTCTTCTATCCGCTTCACTCCTTGAAAGCGATCATCAAAGTTTTTATCTGGGTATTACTAATTTACTATGCGCGGATCTGATCGGCGGAGACATCCCTCAGCTTCTCGACATTACACAATGGCTAAAGGAAAAAAGTGGAGACATCCTTCAGGTCTGATCTGATCGAATTGGAGACATATTTCAGCGATGGGATAAGATTAAGCCTCTGGTCTTTGACAAATTTAGGAATCTGAGAGCTTATTCTCCTTACTGTTTCTTCAAAAGTGATTTTCTTAAAAGCATTTTCACATTGTTTAATGGAAAATTCTGTGTTAGTTTCAGCTACTCCGTATTATGAGCAATGGGAATAAGATGGGGTAAAGCTCTTTCTGGGTTAACTGAAAGGCAAAAAATTTCCAAATAGATGGGCTGGGATTTGAAATTATCTTGCAAGAGGGAGAGGGTCTTGATTTTTAATTGATCATGCAATTGGTTTCTGCATTCTCCGTTAGGCCATCCAGCGAACTCAAGGGGTTTATACGTGTCGTATATCAGTTCATAATGTTAAGGCAAACAACATTTGACAATAATCAACTTTTAGGTATACACATCACTGGCTGATGTTGTCGGCTCCTATTCAAGATGGACCTCTGTTTTCCCAAGTAATGCCAGACCCTTGCTGTAAGTCTACTTTCGTCAGTACCAGTTCACCTCCGATTGGTATTTTTCAGTCTTCTGTTAGGATATGGGTATGCTTATAACATCAATTGGTCTAATAATCTGTATGGTGCTTTCAGGTTATTTCTTGAAGCCTCTGTGTAGACTTTGTGAAGATGCCCCAGCTGTATTCCAGGAATCATCAAATTTAGACATCTTAATGTGGATAGGAGAGGTATCAGCTTCATGCTCCCCTTTCGTAACTGTTAAAACAAGTTTCAAGTTACACTGATACATATATTTTATCTCCTGAATCATGATGCTTTTATCATTTCTTAGTGTTTGGAGCAGTAGAATTTGGCGTTGGAAGATGAAGAGGAAGTCATTAGCGCTATCACTGTGATCCTTCGCTCTGTTGCTAACATAGAGCTACAAAATAAATTAATAACGCAATTGCTTTCGTCAAGTTATGGAGTTCTCTCGAAACTTGTAAGTGTTTATATGCTCAAGAGTTATTCTTCAGAGTTCTTCATCATCCTTTTTTGTGTGCAAGTAACATGTTTGTTAATTCTCTGCATTTATGGAAAAGCAATCAGCTAATTCTTCACAGATAATTCCCTCTGAGTTTGACTAATACCTTTTATGGTTTTACGTAGATGATGACGTCGAGTCTTCTGGTAGACAGAGTCCAGGCACTTACACACGTATGTTGAGCTCTGTTACAAGAGGCCTCTACAGGTATACTTTTGTGACTGCTGTATTTACTATTTTTGTTTAGATGCCTTAGAATTTAGTAGCTTTTGATGAATTGTGGCGTTGGAACTTCAATTCATTAATGAAAGCATTGCCATAATTTTGCATTACATATATTTTTCTGATAACCTGCATTATTAAGTAGGGTTGAAAACTGCGTACCAAAATCTTTAGTAGCTTGCACTTTCTGGTAGTTTTCTTATAAGGTGAGAAAGCTGGGTAAGAGTATCATATTGACGATGTTTCTCTTCACTTATTCTATGATTCAGGATTGGAACTGTATTCAGCCACCTTTCGACGTTTCTGTCATCTGTCTATGTGGCAGATGGTCCAATTCTTTCTTTGTTGACTGTATTCTGTCCCATTTTGGAGAAGCTTTTTAGGTCTGAACACATGGAGAATGGCAGTTTAGCTGCAGCAGTATGCCGTACTCTTTCAGTGGCAGTTCAATGGTCAGGTTCCAAACTTCTTATCTCCTTATTTTATTCAGTTACATCCATAGAATACAAAGCTATACCTTTTAGAGACTGAAACACTTCTCTATTTTCAAGAATCATTTACCGTAAGACTCTGACTATGCATATGATTTTGGAGTATTATGGCTCCAAATTAAGCCTCTCGATCTTAGTTACTGGACACTTTCACACCATTTATTTGCTTTATTTACAGGTGATCACTTTATGCTACTACTACCCAGTGTACTGGACTGTATCAAAAAACTTTCTGTCATTTCAAAGCCAAGAATGTTACATAAGAACAGGTAAGACTTCCTAATTCAGGTACTAGCTGCACTGTTGGAAAAAACTTATTGAGATGATAGCTTTGATTCATTACCCGTGATTTTTACTGGCTAGCTTATATACATTATACCCAAGGTCAGTTATTGATCACCTTTCCACGCACTTTCAATTTCAGTTTGTGTAATTGCTGATGAATTTTGTCACAAGGAGGAATACTGGTCCTTGTTTACCACTACGTTTGAGAGATTTCCCCAGGCCTCATCACTGATGGGAATAAATTTGTCATATATGTGCGACCAAGAACCTGATTTGGTGGAAGCATATGTGAATTTTGCATCAGCATTAATCCGCGGTTGTCATATGTTGTAGGAGACTTGCTTTGTTTTTTAATATGTAGTTATCCTAAATAAAATTGGGTGACTCAGTGTGATTCAATGATTTCACACGACAAACATTAGAATGGTTTTGCTTGCTGGGTATACATATGTCTAGGAAACACGATTTCTGTTATTTTTAATACCATAATATATTTGTTAAGCAATACACGAGTGTCAAAATAACGTCTTCATCGATTGTTGTACATACCCTTGAATACAACGGTTAAAAATAGGTTTTCATGTTCCTATAATTCCATCACTTTTTCTTTTTTAAAATTGTCAAAAAAAAAATACTTACCAAAACCATTAAATACATAAAAATTTGATGGCATATATAAAGTTTTCATTCAGTAGGTTTCACCAAAATATAACACCTAAAATTTGTGAATAAAAACGAATAAAAAAACAAATTATTATAAAGAAAACCCGCGCGTATGCGCTGGTATTATCCTAGTCCAACTTAAAGCGTGCTGTTAAAAAAAAAAAAAAAAAACTTAAAGCTTGTTGGGATCAAATGAAATTTCAACTTTCACAAATCATACAAGAATGAGGCGTCTTGGATTGCACAACTTGAATCAACGAAGAACAAGGAGGATAATTACTTCTTCTTCTTCTTCAACACTTCTTCCTCATCTTGCATCATCACTTCAAGAAACCATTATCTCATCCCAAAGTCCAAAACCCAAAAGAGATCTTCCAACCAGTTTTAGCTTCCTCCGAGAATCAAAGTCATCGATGTCTTGCCCGGTACGTTTTCTTTCACTTCCTTCAGAAAACTGTTTTGGTCTACAAGTTTTTTTTTACAGTGTACTCATGTTGTGAAAACAGAGGAATCAACTTTCAGATTCAATGAACAGAATTAAGCTACGTGATGGGAGATTCCTAGCTTATAAAGAGAGAGGTGTTCCAAAGGATGAAGCCAAATACAAGATCATTCTTATTCATGGGTTTGGAAGCTCCAAAGAAATGAACTTCTCTGCTTCAAAAGTAGGTTATTTTGGTCTTTTGTGGGTTTTTAGGTTTTGGTGAAGCTGACTATCTTATCTCACCGGGATTTAGTTTCTTTTTAGGAGTTGATAGAGAAGCTAGGCGTATATTTTCTGCTCTACGACCCTGCTGGATATGGAGATTCAGATCCAAACCCGAAACGATCTTTGGAAAGCGAAGCACTGGACATAGACGAACTTGCTCATCAGTTGCAGATAGGACCCAAGTTTTACTTAATTGGAGTTTCCATGGGATCATATCCTACTTGGAGTTGCCTTAAACACATACCTCACAGGTAAAAATTATCCACCAACTCCCTCAAAAAGAAGATGCGCTTGAATCTTGATCATAACATTAATTAATAACATAAAACTTTGATCGTTTCAAAATTTAACTTATGTGTTTGATCTTGAAATTTGTTCACCTTTTTAAATAGTAAAACATTTAAATTTAAACGTATATGCAAATGGAATTAAAAAAAAAAACTTATTACAGAATTGTCTATCATATAATCGTCCATGTAACTGTTGTCAAAATTTGTTATAGATAATAACACAACAAAAAAAACATGTACACACAAACAAATTATCGAGGCTTAAGTACCAGATTTCTTCCAGGTTAGCGGGAGTGGCGTTTGTAGCTCCGGTAGTGAATTACCGATGGCCGTCACTTTCTAAGAAGCTTATAAAGAAAGATTACAGGAGAGAACTTATAAAATGGTGTTTTCGGATATCAAAATATGCACCTGGGCTGTTACATTGGTGGATCAGTCAGAAACTCTTCCCATCAACTAGTTCGGTCCTTGAAAGCAATCAACTCTATTTCAATAGCAATGACATTGAGGTACTCAAGAGAATTACAGGCTTTCCTATGCTTACTAAGGGGGAAGTTGGCTTTTTCAGGCTGGAACTTTCAGAAAATGTTAAATATATACTTAAACTTATACATGGTGCTTTAACATACTTCATCTATGTTAATATTTGAATTTCATTCTTAAACATTGTTTTAGTTTGAATTTCATCCTTAATCTTTGCTTGTTGTGCTAAAACCAATTTTCATCCTAATTCTGTTAACTCTCCGTCAGATGACGCTTACGTGGCCGCCACATAAGTAACATGTCGTATTTGGTTTTCGAAGATTTTGTAAAAAAAATCCAGACAACGCCGTTTTGTCTCATCTTTGTCTTCAACCCCTCGACGACATTAATCTGAGATGAATTAGGGATTTGAAAATCCAGTTCTTAAATCTCTTAATTCTTGTTAGAGCTTGATGTCTTCCTCTAGCAGTTCAGGTAAGTTCATACCAATTTTTCCTTTTATGTTTTGGGTGTTTAAATTTTTGAGGAATTGACAATTTTTTATATCTGATGACTAAGAAATCCTGTCTTTTAACACTGTATTTTGTGAAGGAATAACGTTAAAGCGGCAGGAGACTGAGCAAGGAAGAGGCATACCGAAGAAATGTCGATATGGTGCAGGATCAATTATCAGAACCTCAGAGACATATCAAAATCCTGGGAGACTCTTCTACTGTTGTCCGTATGGATCGAAGGAGGTATTTTATAGTCTCCTTTCATTAATTTGTGCGTTATTTTGATTGCAGTGACCCATATAAATCGATTTTTTGTACTGTTGTTAGGATAACAAACATTTGTTCAAGTGGACAGATGTTTCTATTGTAGAAGAGGTTGAAAAACTGCAAATGGATGTGAAGAGATTAGAGAAAGAGTTTCAAGATGTTCAAAGCAAGAAGAGTAGTTGTGAGGCGGTAGCAGACAGCTTTCTTTCTGAAATTGAAGCATTGAAAGTTAAAGCCACTGGATTTGAAAAAGAGATTGCAGAGCTTAAAGCTGATGTCAGTTGCTGCAAAAATGAGATTGAGAATCTTAATGCACGCCTTAGTTCGATGAAAAATGTGATGTTTTGTGGGTTGGTGATGCTTGTAATCGTGTTTTTCATTTACCATTAGGATTATATGTTGTGTTGTGTTGAGTTGGTTTAGTGGAAGTGGTCATCGTTTCATGTATAGTGTTTGGCATTTTCTTATTTCAGGTTCGATTATATTTTGGTGATGAGAATACAAGCCTTCATCATTTTTCAAGTTTGTTCAATTTTAATTTGTGGTCATTTTTGTTCAATTCACATAACGAACACTAAAACCAAAATCAGGGACAATGACAAACGTATATCAAACAATATCATGTATCATGTATGGTGTACATGTCGTATGTGTGTGTTGGCATGTCCTCTGTTTCGGTCATGTATGGTTTGGGTTCAGTTTTACCTTCAACGACAAAGTTCTCCTCACACGTCTAAGCTGGAAAAATCTACACAATTCCAATTTCTCTCTCTCTCTCTCTAGCTCTCTCTCTCTCTAGCTCTCTCTCTCTCTCTCTCTAGCTCTCTCTCTCTCTCGTATTGATATTATCTCTAAAATTGTCAATATCAAATTCCAGAGTAATCTAGTCTGTTTTAGACTCTCCACGCCCAGAAATAGAAACACAAAATCAAAAAAGAGTGAGAAAGATCTCATGATCTCTGTTTTTTGGTTGATCTTTTTGACCAAGTTGATCTCACATGATTATTCAATTGCTGTGTTTCCTCTTGTTCTTGTTTCTGCTTTTACAAGCCACCATGTCTAAACGCTCTTTCAAGAATTTCGTGGAACAAGAGCTCGGAATTCACATAACGAGAACTAAAACCAAAATCAGGGACAATGACAAACAATGTAGAACAAAGTACCAACCAATGTCATTATGAGAACCAGAGATTTGAAAACAAGAAGTAATAGCATGAGTCTCAAAATCCAAAAAACAAACACAGAAGCCATGAACATGGGCTTTTAAAAGCAATAGTCTGATCTCAGGATAAAAAACCAAACTCCATCTCGAAATATCAATGAAAAACACGACAGTTTCATAAAATCAAAGAAAACAGACTCCGTAACCCCACCACTCTTCTCCATGAACTCAATGCCACCTGATGAACATTTAACCCACTGCAAAATCATCGGAGAAAAAAAAACATGTTAAGCACCAAAACAAGTTTCAAAATACGTTTGTAAACAGAATTTAAACACCACCTTCACTCTCCATTTTGTGATGGCTGTGTTTGACTTGGTCCATCACCGCACTCAACGACATCTGGTTTGCGTGTCACCTTCGGCTTTGGAACATACACAGTGGTTGGACATTTTCTGATGTTATGTCCGACTGAACCACAACCTCGACAGTGAGAGATTCTTCCTTCTCTAGTAAGCTTCACAATCTTCTCTGGAGCCTCTTCCACAACTTCTTTTCCCTTGTTCTTTTTCTTTGGGGATTCATTCTTTCCTTTTATCCTCTTCTGCTTCTTATTAGGACCATGGGACTCTTCTCTTGGTGGTGGTTGGATCTTTGTCTCACCAGACTTCCTCCACAGATCGATGCCATTCACAGACCGGATCGGATTACTATACTGGTTTCTCCATTTTGAAGTCAAGTACCAATTCGAAACATAATCTTGGGGATCAAGCTTCCTATACAGAAGCACTCTAAGGACATGACGACAAGGGATGCCAGTCATATTCCACCGCCTACAAGCACAAGTTTTGGCAACCATGTCAACAGTATAACTCACGGTATGTTCCTTCACCTCATACTCACCATTTCCACTCGGGATAACTCTGCAATACATGCGTTGCTTCTCTTCAGCTTTTATAGTCGATGCCACTTTGGGACTGTATTTCCCTTGATGCTTCATTGCTTTCTTCCTTCTTACATCCATACGGATCATAGCCTGTCTTCTAATAGTCTCTAACATCTCTACTAGTGGCATCGATCTGGCCTTGTTAATTGAGTTGTTGTATGACTCAGAGAAGTTGTTGGAGACATCCTCACACACTGATGTGCAACTGAAGAAAGCACGACTGCAGTTACGGGGATTCCTCTTCATCATTTCTTCATAAATACCAAAATCAAACTCCTTGAACTCTTTGATTGCTTTGTCATACTCTCCAATATTGTAGCTCTTCGCAACAGCCCAAAACAAAGCTTTAGGCAACTCTTTGCCTGGATAGATTCTTCTCAGGTTGCCATAGATGTGGCGTGCACACATCCGATGCTCCACTTTAGGCAGTTCTTGATCCACAGCATTAATCAAACCCTTTAAAAAAAAGAATGTGAGAAACAGAGAAAACTGAGTTTATAAAAGACAAAGACGAATGTGAAGCTACTAACCTTCTGTCTGTCAGAGATAATAGTGAAACCAGAACCATCTTGTAGGTTTAAATCATTCTTCAACAGCTTTATAAACCAGAGCCAGCTGTCTGTGTTTTCCTTCTTCACAACACCCCAAGCGACAGGAAAAAACTGGTTATTTGCGTCGCGTCCGATAGCAGCAAGAAGTTGGCCTTCTACATTGTTTTTCAGGAAGCAACCGTCTAATCCAATAATTGGACGACAGTAAGTACGCCATGTCTTTCGGAGATTGGCAAAGCACACGTAGAAACAATCAAATATCTCTTTGCCCTCACCGTTTTTCACCGTTCGTACCTCTACGGTTGAATTCGAGTTGGAGCTGCATAAGAAAAAACAAATTTAAAAGTTAGATTGGGACACTTAGAAATCGAACACTGTACTGGTACGAATAAGAAACTTACTCAATCAAGGCGAGTCTATAGTCTTTAAGTCTCGCAAACTGTTCATCGTGTTCAGCTTGAATAATGTCTAAAGCTTTTCTCTTAGCTTTCCTACATTGGTCATTGGAGACAGCAATGTTGTATTTCTCCTCAAATGCATCTTGCATATCCGAAGGTCTGTAATCCGGATTTTTTTTTATGTCATTCAGGAACAATTTAGCGATGACACCATCTTTTATTACCTTGCTATGCCCATCTTTCATACATGTGTGCTCCTTGACAAAGGTTTTAATCATGTACCTCTCAATTGGTTTCTCAAAAGCACAGTAGATTACGAATGGACAATCTCCACCAAGTGCACACTTCACCCGAGACTGCTCTGATCCCCATTTTGTGTACTTGACGTTGTATCCTTCCTTGAGGACATAATCGACAACTGCTTCCTTGAACTCTGCAATACTGTCGAACACTTGAGCCAATTGAAGTTCTCCACTCCCTTTTTTGCAAGCCAGAAATCGTCTTTGAACACCACCATCCTCATCATCTGAATTCGGAGGAGTATCCTCAGAATTATCAGGCTGTTGCTCTTCTTCCTCAGTTATACCATCCTCATCAACCCTCTCATCGTCACCATTGTTTTCACCGGCTTCAGAATCTTCCTCGGACACAGATTCTTCCGCAGGGATTTCATCATGCAAAGCAGCTCTGTTTTCAGCACCATTGTCTTTGTTTTGATCCACAACAGCATCAACTCCTTCAAGAAAATCTTCACGTTCCAAGAAAACATCTGCAGCTTTCGTCCAAAACACAGCATCACACATTTTTTTAAAGTTTGCAGTCCCATCCTCGAGCACCTTCAGATCCGCAAGTTCTTCAAACGGAAGTTTGTACCAAATTCTTTGTCCACTCAAAGAAATGATCAATGATTCCATCAGATTAACAAACAGTGATGCCGGGTTGCTTATGAGTGTGTGGACTTCGCCTCCGACATATGATGTTCCGTTGTCAATGGAGATCTTAAATTTACCATTGTGATAAACTTGAAACACAGCCTCGTTCTCACTAAAACAACAGAGTTAGAACAAAGTAAGAATAGAACATCATATACAGGCCTTGTCCAAGTCAACTGAGATATTGACTTAGAACAAAAAACGTATCTACGTTGTGTAAACTCTTAAACCGATCTGATCGAAGCCAAATATAGAAAGAAAAAATCACTATTTGAAAGTTTACCTCATGTCTCCAAGCTGTAAGTGATGATAACCAAAAGCTTATACCACTTAAACACTGAACTCAATATTTAGGGTTTTTAAACACTTGATCGCTCTGTTACTTTAGCTTGACGAAGAAGACGAGCATATAAAAGGTTATATCGATGTTTAAGTATTTTCCAAGTAATATCTTTTTATCAATTTTTAAAGACTACACGACTACGTATTGGGTTTTATAAAAATCGATAACTTGATGGGTTAACCGATGTCGTTTGTGTATTCTAAAACTGAGAAAGAATAATATGATCTCCTCACTTACGTGGATGCCACATAGACCAAGGCTGACAGAATAATTAACAGAGTTAGGATAAAAATTGGTTTTAGCACAACAAGCAAAGATTAAGGATGAAATTCAAACTAAAACAATGTTTAAGGATGAAATTTAAATGTTAACATAGATGAAGTATGTTAAAGCACCATGTATAAGTTTAAGTATATATTTAACATTTTCTGAAAGTTCCAGCCTGAAAAAGCCAACTTCCCCTTACTATGGTAACAAATAACTTAATTATAATATAAACTTTTATTACATTAGGACTAATTAAGCCTGATTATGTTCTGCTTATTCGGTATAAGAACAAAGTTGGTTTGGCTTTTGTTGTAAGAAATTTTGGTTGGTTCGATTTAGTTTTCAGGTTTAGTAGTAACAATAATGTCTAACTTTTTGCCTATTTAGAATAAACTACGGGAAAGGAATGTGTTTGATACTCTAAGAGATGATTTCTTGGCGGGGTTTGGGCAATGGGACTTTGATCCGGCTGATGTAAGAATTACTGAAGAGAGCTCAGTTCATATATGGTACGGAAGGGAAGACAAAGTGGTTCCGTTTCAACTTCATAGATGCATCTTGAAGAAATTACCATGGATCAAATATCATGAGATACCACAAGGTGGACATTTAATCGTCCACTATGATGGTACTTGCGATGCGGTTCTAAGAGCGCTATTGGTCGGGGAAGATCAAAAGGTGTATCAACCCAAACACAATTTTTAGAACTTATCTCTTGTGTGTTTGAGTCTCTTACAGTTTTAAATTGTTAGCTAGCAATATTTCAAATAAGAACTATCATTTTTTTTTTGTTCAAACTTAGATTATATTAATTTAAACCGGGATTACGAAAGCCACAAACAGAATACTCTTTGCCAGGGAGTAGAAACCACTTGTTACAAAGTTGAAAGACAATACAATAAGGAGATAGGTTAGACAGGTTAAATCATAGATAAAAACCGGAAGCTTCTTCAAAAGGGCTTCTAATTTGATCGATCTTCAGTTCTTCTGCCGTTAAAGGCGAAGGAACAACACTTATAGCTCGTGATACCATCGGGCCTGAGCGTTTAAAGACGTTCTCTATAACAAAGAAGGTTGCTGGAAAAGTACCTCTCATAAAGAGGGAAATTGGTGGAAAGGTTCTGTCTTCCGAGGAAGATGAGGTGAAAATAGATCTCTCCTGGCCCAACAGGAGGAAATTTGGTTAGATTTACCCCACTTGGATAAACCTAAAGGACCAAAAGTAGATGATTTGAGCATCTTCATCAAAACTCAAGGATTTGTCAAAAAGAACTGGTTCTTCAAAGATGTGACCGAAAAAGTAGACACTGGATTTCGAGGTTCGCCGTACCGGACGGCTCGGAGCTGCTAGGACTGAGACTTAGCCGGAGGTGGAAGCAATCCTGTCTTCAAATCGCAGAAGAAAACAATTGCAATTTTGGACCTTGTTGTGGTGGGAAATGGGCCTAAGGCAACAAAGCATAATGGGCTACGGCCCACTAAAATCATATTAGGCCAGGCTTACATTGCAAAACAGCAGGTAGGGGACAAATTGATGAGAGATTGTAAGGTCGGCGGAGGAGGCTCGGAGAACCGGTAGGTTGCTCGCCAGAGCAGAGAGTTGAGCCGGCAGAGAGTAGAGGCGGATCTGGGAGACGGAGGCTGGCTAAGCCGCTAAGGCGGATGATACGAATTCCCAAAGAACGGCACACACTTGGTCGGTATCAGATTGATAAATCCTTGACTCCAGCTGGATCTCGGAGCAGATGCTAAGGCGTGAGAATAAATCCTGAATATCCTTAGGCCCAAACTCGCGGAGAATAACTTGGAACAAGGGGATGGAGCAAAGAGAAAGAAATCGCCGGTAAAAGGATGTTAGGGCGTGGGAAATGAGTTCCTGAAAATCCCTAAGCTCCGATTACTACAAACGGAAACTTAAACTTTGCAGGCGAAGGCTGCGTCAAGTTCTATGGATTGAACTTGATAAACCAAAATGATTCAAGAGGCTAACCACCTAAGGAGTTGAAAAGTTCAAAAGAACAAAGGAGAAAATCTCAGATTTATTTGATAAGTGAATGGCGAAAATGAGAAGGGGTACAAGCCTTTATATAGCAGGCGGAGTAGTCCAAGAGATAAACTCGAAAATGACAGAAAAATTAATAAAGTCTTTGACTGAAATAAATAAGCTATGGACTGACTCTTCGGCTGGTCTTTGACTGACTCTTGAATTGCCAAGCCGAAAAATGACTCTTGTGCTGCCGACCCATGAACCAGACCGCAAACAAACCTGGGTCGAGAGATGGGCAATGGACTTAACCTCATTAAAACCCCACCCGGTAAACCCATTGGGACAAACCCGGGTGTAAGGAAAATGAGTATTAAGCCATTACCCGGACCAGATTAGTTACAGCCGGCGTTCATGAGCACGGTCACAATCTTGGGTGATGCTGGGTCGCCTGTTCCGATCTTGATCCCATTAAGTACAGCCTGAACCGTCCCTGCCAGCTTCTTAGCTCTGAATCGCGTCATAGGTCCATCCGGTACGGCCAAATGTGCATCCGGAACCTCGATTCCCTTGTCTGGGTCGTCCTCCGGGTCCATGATGGTATCATCCTCCCCCTCTTGAAAAGGACTTGTCCTCAAGTCTGGTCCATCTGCGACAAAGGGAATAAGGTCAGAAATGTTGAAGCTGATACTGATTAAGTACTTATCTCGTAAATCAATCTTGTAGGCGTTGTCATTGATCCGCTCAAGGACCGTAAAAGGACCATCCACACGAGGCAATAACTTGGACTTTCTTTCCTCCGGAAACCTGTCCTTCCTCAAATAGACCCATACTAGATCGCCTGGTTCGAACACATTTTGGCTCTGGCCCTTGTTAGCATGCTTCTTGTAAAGCTCGGTCTTCCTTTCAATGTTCTGCTTGGCCTTCTAATGAATCTGCTTGACAAGCTCGGCCTTTTTCTTCCCATCCATACTTACACGCTCAGACAAAGGTAAAGGCGTAAGATCAAGAGGAGTAAGAGGGTTAAACCATAAACCATTTAAAACGGGGAGAACAATGTAATAGAATGAACCGCATGGTTATAAGCAAATTCTACATGTGGTAGACAATCTTCCCACGTCCTAAGGTTCTTTTTAATAACAGAACGAAGTAGTGCAGACAAGGTTCTATTAACGACCTCGGTTTGGCTGTCGGTCTGTGGGTGGCAAGTGGTGGAAAAGCATAACTTAGTACCTAGTTTTGACCAAAGCGTTTTCCAAAAATAACTGAGGAACTTAACATCGCGGTCAGAAACTATAGTCCTAGGCATTCCGTGCAACCTAACCACTTCTCTAAAGAACAAATCAGCCACATTAGACGCATCATCAGTCTTATGACAAGGTATAAAGTGCGCCATTTTTGAGAACCTATCGACCACAACAGATACAGAATCCCGACCTGTCCTAGTTCTTGGCAATCCTAACACAAAATCCATAGAAATGTCCGTCCAAGGAGAGCTAGGAATGGGTAAGGGAGTGTACATACCTGGGGACTGACTTTTGGATTTCGCATACTTACAGGTGATGCATCGGCCGCAAATTCTTTCCACATCTCTTTTCATATGCGGCCAGAAGAAATGATCCTGGACCACACTAAGAGTCTTGGCCACTCCAAAGTGTCCCATCAAACCGCCGCCATGAGCTTCCCTAACTAGCAGATCACGAAGGGAGACATTAGGTCTACAAAGGCGGTTTTCATAAAACAAGAAGTCATCACTCCGAAAATATTTTCCAGTGGCAAATTTAGAACAAGATTGATAAACTTCCTGGAAATCTGGATCGGAGGTGTAGGCTTCTTTGATCATTTCAAAACCGAGGACCTTGGCGTCTAAGGTCGAGATCAGGGTATATTTGCGGGACAAGGCGTCGGCCACAACGTTTCCCTTTCCCTGTTTGTACTGGATCACGTACGGAAACGTTTCAATAAACTCCACCCATCTGGCATGCCGCTTATTCAGTTTCTGCTGACCCTTGAGGTGTTTAAGAGATTGATGATCCGTATGAATCACAAACTCCTTTGGCCAGAGGTAGTGTTGCCAGGTTTGGAGTGCACGGACTAAGGCATAAAGCTCCTTGTCGTTAGGTGGGATAGTTCAAGGTCGCGCCACCAAGCTTCTCACTGAAGTAGGCAATAGGCCGTTTCTCCTGCATTAAGACCGCACCAATACCTACACCAGAGGCATCGCACTCAATTTCAAAGTTTTCATAAATCAGGCAAAGAAAGGAGAGGTGCATGAGTTAGCCTGTTTTTAAGGAGTTGGAATGCCTCTTCTTGTGTCGTGCCCCATTTAAAACCAACGTCCTTTTTGATTACTTCGGTGAGAGGCGCTACTATGGTGAAGTCCTTTACAAACCGTCGGTAGAAACCGGCCAGGCCGTGAAAGCTTCAGACCTCTCCAACCGTCTTGGGACTAGGCCAGTCTCTGATCGCCTTGATCTTCTCTTCGTCGACCTGGATCCCATTGGCACCTACAACAAAGCCTAGGAACACAACACTATCCGCGCAAAAAGTACACTTTTTCAAGTTCCCAAACAATTGCTCCTTCCTAAGCACTTCTAATACTAACTGCAAATGCTCTAAGTGCTCGGCCAAGTTCTTGCTATAGACTAAGATATCATCAAAGTACACAACGACAAAAACGCCTATGAACGACCGCAAGACATGGTTCATAAGTCTCATGAAAGTGCTAGGGGCGTTGGTTAAGCTAAACGGCATTACCAACCATTCATAAAGCCCATACTTTGTCTTAAAGGCTGTTTTTTATTCGTCCCCCTCTTTCATCCTTATTTGGTGATAGCCGCTTTTCAAATATATCTTAGAAAAAAGATAAGATCCGTGAAGTTCATCAAGCATATCATCCAAACGAGGAATGGGATGTCTGTATTTTACCGTGATATTGTTGATTGCATGAAAATCAACACACATACGCCAAGTGTCGTCCTTCTTTGGCACAAGTAAGACCGGGACCGCGCAAGGACTCATACTCTCTCGTATATGTCCTTTCTCCATCAGCTCTCCGACCTGCCGCTGTAGTTCCATTGTTTCAATAGGGTTGGTTCGATACGTGGGTCGGTTTGACAAGGACGCACCAGGAACAAAATCAATCTGATGTTCTATTTCCCGGATGGGAGGTAAACCACTTGGGCTTTCTTCTGGAAAGACGTCCTTGTATTCCTGCAAGAGAGGCAAAACGCTGCTTGGAAGATCCGGCTCACGGTCAGTAAGGCTAGCCAAAGCATTTTAAACATTAACAAGACAAAAGATTGTCTCGTAAGCACGGCGTGCTTAAGTTCACTTGGCCTCACAAAAAGAGTTTCTTTTCTCACGGGTAAACTCTCTAAGGCCGTTTCTGGGGTTTTTCTCAGACTCTCAGATTTAGTGGAAGTGTTTAGATGGTCACTCACAACGCTTTTTCCTTTGTGGCTTTGCTCGAGTTTGATCTGGTCTAGGTAGACCTCTTGCGGGGACAAAGACGCTAGGGTGATCTTGCGGCCTTGGTGTTCGAACATGTGTTTGTTGGAGAAGCCATCGTGAATGGCCTTGCGGTCATACTGCCAAGATCGGCCCAAAAGGATATGACCAGCTTCCATTGGTAACACATCACACATGATCTCATCCTCGTACCGTCCGATAGATAATGGAACCGAGACCTGCTTGGTGACCTTCAGCTGCCTTTGGTTGTTTAGCCACCTGAGACTATAAGGCTGCGGATGCTTGTGTGCGTCTCCAGGCCAAGTTTCTCCACCATTGTAGTGCTTGCCACGTTCGTACAGCTGCCTCCATTGATGATCAGGCTGCAGACCTTACCCTTTACCAAGCACCGGGTATGAAATAGGTTCTCGCGCTGATCTTCTTCTTTTACGGGTTCCTGAGCTAGTAGGACTCTCCGGGCAACGAGCAATTCACCTTCTGCTGCTCATTCCTCATCCTCCTCATCGTCATAAATCGGTCCAGTATCCTCTCCATCGGACACGATTTCATCTGAGTCAAGAAGCAACATGGTTTGTTGGTTCAGACATTTATTAGCATAATGACCTTTACCTCGACACTTAAAACATTCAATGTCGCGGTGTCTAGCCGGTGTAGCCTCGGCTTTTCCTTTGAAGTCGGGTGCAGAGGAGCTGGGTTTGGAATCCGACCTGGGCTTAGCGTCGGATCGAGATGGATAACTCGGCTTATATGTAGGTCGCGAACTGGAACCATATGCGGGTCGGTTGGTGCCTTTGCGTTTCAGCTGCTGTTCCACTAGTACCGCCTTGTGGTACATCTCACCAATGTCCCGATAGTCCTGCAGCTCTATATGGTCTTGTATATCACGGTTTAGGCCACTCAGGAACCGGGCCATTGTCGCATCCTCCGGTTCTACCGTATCGGCTTTCAGCATTAGCCGATCCATCTCTTAGTAATACTCCTCAACATTCTTGGATCCCTGGGTTAAACGTCTGAGTCGAGTGTGTAACTCCCGCTGGTAGTGGCTTGGTACGAATCTGCGTCTCATCATTCGTGCCATCTCGTCTCACGTTTCGACCGGTCGGTCACCGTTCCTTCTCCGGTTGGTAACAACTTGGTCCCACCAGTCTACCGCGTACCCATGGAACTTGGTGGCGGCCAGGTTGATCTTCTTTCTTTCTGAGAAGTTCTGACAACCAAACAAAATGTCGATCTTCTTTTCCCACTCAAGGAACGCATCTGGATCGGTTGTACCATAGAAAGATGGGACCCTTAGCTTCATGCCTCCAAGGTCATTGTCGTTTTGGGCTTGGACTGGTTCAGGTTCGTATTGTCCCCGGCCTTGATCATTACGGTCTCATCGAGCCTCGTCCCGGTTACGGCCGCGGGTTGGATCTGGGTTATATCGCTCACGACCGTGACCACGTCTATCTTCTCGGCCGCGTCTGGGTCGTACCTGAATACCACCCGAGGTATGACCGTCAGTGTAAAATGGGTTGTCTACGACAAACTCATTCCAGTTATGATTTCTCTCCCTCCGGGTTGGGTCCTCCTGGTCACTGCGATCAGTTCCTCTGTCCCGTCTAGGCTGATTCACTTCCAACTGTTCCAAACGCTGGTTCATGTGACCCAGCAGCCGAGTAATCTGGTCCAGCCTATGGTTCATAGTGGCTTTTCTCACTTCTTTTGACCGAATAGTGGATGGATCGTCGCTAGAAGACATATAATACCTCGCAAAACAAACAAACAAGTTAGCAAAAAGTCTCGCAAAGTGTTTCACTCGGTGTTTCACTTAACTCTCTTAAGGATCTCACAAACACTCAAGAGACTCTCCTCGGTTCTAAGGGAACTAAATCAAAAACTCGATGTAGATCTCTAAACCAATTCAGAATATCAAGCGATTATGAAGAAAGAGAAGATAGATAGTAAAGATTTTTGGTTTCCACAGATCTTTTTTTTTTGAATAGATCTGGAATTACAAAAGAAAGAAAGGATAAGACGGAATTTGAAAGGACGAAAGATAGATAATACCGCTTTCTTCAAGTGTGTGGCTCTGATACCACTTGATACGAATTCCCAAAGAACGCCACACACTTGGTCGGTATCAGATGGATAGATCCTTGACTCCAGCTGGATCTCAGAGCAGATGAGAAGGCGTGAGAATAAATCCCGAAAATCCTTAGGCCCAAACTCGCGGAGAATAACTTGGAACAAGGGGGTGGAGTAAAGAGAAAGAGATCGTCGGTAAAAGGATGTTAGGGCGTGGGAAATGAGTTCCCAAAAATCCCTAAGCCCCAATTACTACAAACGGAAACTTAAACTTTGCAGGCGAAGACTGCGTCAAGTTCTATGGATTGAACTTGATAAACCAAAATGATTCAAGAGGCTAACCACCTAAGGAATCGAAAAGTTCAAAAAGAACAAAGGAGAAAATCTCAGATTTATTTGATAAGTGAATGGCGAAAATGAGAAGGGGTACAAGCCTTTATATAGCAGGCGGAGTAGTTCAAGAGACAAACTCGAAAATGACAGAAAAATTAATAAAGTCTTTGACTGAAATAAATAAGCTATGGACTGACTCTTCGGCTGGCCTTTGACTGACTCTTGAATTGCCAAGCCGAAAAATGACTTTTGCGCTGCCGACCCATGAACCAGACCGCAAACAAACCTGGGTCGAGAGATGGGCAATGGATTTAACCTCATTAAAACCCCACCCGGTAAACCCATTGGGAAAAACCCGGGTGTAAGGAAAAAGAGTATTAAGCCATTACCCGGACCAGATTAGTTACAGCCGGCGTTCATGAGCACGGTCACAATCTCGGGTGATGCTGGGTCGCCTGTTCCGATCTTGATCCCATTAAGTACAGCCTAAACCGTCCCTGCCAGCTTCTTATCTCTGGATCGCGTCATAGGTCCATCCGGTACGGCCAAATGTGCTTCCGGAACCTTGATTCCCTTGTCTGGGTCGTCCTCCGGGTCTATGATCGTATCAGCGGAGGGATAAATTTCCAGAAGGGAAGACGACATTTGGGAGGGAGTAGAGCACCATCCATGAAAGTGGAGGCCACAAGTCACAAGTACTCATCAAACACAGACAAAAGATCCGGAGATGTATGCAATAGAAGCAAGCGTGTGGAAAGCTCTGGAACAATGGGTAGAAGCGGAAGAGGATATCGTAAATCCAGCGGATCCGGTGGTTCTGGTGGCTCCTGCTGAAGAGTAGGGTTTGGCTGTGCCGAAAAGTTCACCACGCGGAGGTGGGAGAGCAGATCTGCTGACCACGACAGAGCAGGAGATGAATGCTGAAACGTGAACAAAGACTCGACCTTATGTGCCATGGAAAAAAATGAGGATGAAAAGGTCGGAAAATATCTCGTCGGAGAGGGAACAGCCGGCGGAGGGAGTTGACGGTTCTTCAGAGAAGCCCGAGAAGGTGGAGATTCGCGCTACTTAGATAGAGGACATGACAGTTGAGGAACACCGGATGCGGAGGATCATTTTGAAATCTTCGATGGTCGGTGCTACTCACATGTGTATTCTTAATAAGAACTATCATATTTCCAACATTTTAGCGGTTTATGATTATTTTGTGAAAATATTATTTAATTTAAATATTTATTTTTTTAATCATTCGACTGTTTTATTTATCTGACATACTAGTCAATTTTTTTTTTGAAGTCTGTCATGATCAAGAGAATGGAAACGTTGATTTTAAACCCGCTTGTACTGAGTAATAAGCTAACCCAAAACAAATTTGTTGGTTTATTACCCAGCATAATATGAAATCAAGTCTCTATCCAATTTAAACCAAACCCATACCCGACTAAGATCAATTCTAATCTCGGATGTGATCACGCTAGAACTAACCTTAAAATCCTCCAAGTTTATGTCGAAACAGTTTGTATCTAATTTTTGTGTCATCTTGTGAATGGTTGAAGCCTTCACTTTTGTGCAATGGTCGCAAAGCCGTCGTCGAGGTTGTGGTAGTCGTGAATCTCAAATCTAAAATTTTATTTGGTTTTATCATTTCTTATTTTCTCTCAGCTTTTGCTCTTTACGAGCTTCTGGTAGATTAAGCTAAATCTTAATCTTTTTTCTTCTAGTATTTTTTCTTCTGTTATGATACAATGTTCTCTTATATAATTAATGAAAACCCTTAAACAAAAAAAGAAAAAGCCTTCACTTTTGCTTGTAAATTTAGAGACTCAAGAGTCTTCAAGTTATTGTGTCTTTGTTTGTGTTTCATTGGATTACTAACATATCTAGAATAAGCGATGTTATGTATGGGTAATTATCAAACTAAAAATCAGAGCAATCGCGCAACTAAAACATCAAACTCCTAATATGAATCATTCATACATTTCCAAATTACTGAAATGAAGTATATTACAACAAAAAAAATATATATATATATATATTTATATATATATAAAGATGGGCTAATTGAGACATAATTTCGGCCGAAAATGTAACAAATGGCCCAACAATGTACCAAAGGCCCATGTGACGAGATCAATCTAGTTAGGGTTTAGTCTCTTCCTTCCAATTTTTTTCCTCTTTCCTCATATAAAATCTTCAGCCGCCTCGAAAGCAAAATAGGGCTTCAGCTGCTTCACCTTTCAGGTTCGTTTCTCTCCGACCTCTTCACTTCTCCTTTCGTTTTTTTTTCCCGTTTACTGTCTTCACTGTGATTACGTAACCTATGATATGAAAGATTTTGATTTCTGCTGAATACAAATTACTAAATCATGGTGTAAAATGAGGGTTTCATCTCCAAAATTGATCCCTTTTTTTGTTTGTTTGCTTTGTTGTTTCCAGGGTCAGAGATTCGTGAACTGAGAGAAACCCAAGATGAGGTACTCTTCTCCCAATTATCATCTAGATCTCTAATCGCTATATCATCAAGTGATCTCCAAATTTGTCTATGTTCAATTAGATTGATGGATTAGAGAATGTAATCGTAGAAGTCTTGCTGTTCATTAGATTACTATAGTACATTGCTTTTGTTTTGTTTTGTTGATCTAATTCTGTGAAATGTGATTGTGAATATACAGTAAGCTTCAGAGTGAGGCTCTTAGAGAAGCCATCACAACTGTCAAGAGCAAATCTGAGGATAAGAAACGTAACTTTGTGGAGACAGTGGAGCTTCAGATTGGTCTGAAGAACTATGACCCACAAAAGGACAAGCGTTTCAGTGGTTCTGTCAAGCTCCCACACATTCCTCGCCCGAAAATGAAGATCTGTATGCTTGGAGATGCCCAGCATGTTGAAGAGGTGATTTAAAATCTCTCTCTGAATTTGTGTATCAAGGAAGAACTTGGTTGTTCTTGAAATGTTGATGTTTGGGTTTAACTGGAGCTTGATACAAAGTGAATTGGTTTTGATAGGCTGAGAAGATGGGACTAGACTATATGGATGTTGAGGCTTTGAAGAAGCTCAACAAAAACAAGAAGCTTGTTAAGAAGCTTGCTAAGAAGTACCATGCTTTCTTGGCTTCTGAATCCGTCATTAAGCAGATTCCCCGTCTTCTTGGTCCTGGTCTTAACAAGGCAGGCAAGTTTCTTCGATAACTCATTCCTGTTCTGTTCTTACGTCTCACGTTTAGATGTAGTTTCAGTTTTTCTTGTTCTAAGCTTTCTTGATATGGGTTTTGATACGCAGGAAAGTTCCCAACTCTGGTGAGCCATCAAGAGTCGTTGGAATCAAAGGTGAATGAGACGAAAGCAACTGTGAAGTTCCAGTTGAAGAAAGTTCTGTGTATGGGTGTTGCTGTTGGTAACCTTTCCATGGAAGAGAAGCAGCTCTTTCAGAACGTGCAGATGAGCGTCAACTTTCTTGTCTCGCTATTGAAGAAGAATTGGCAAAACGTAATGATTGCGTCTTGTTTCTCTGTAAACTTCGTTAATACATCTCTCTAAAGCTCTTTCTAATCTCTTCTTGATTTGAATGTTTTGCAGGTAAGGTGTTTGTACTTGAAGAGCACCATGGGACCACCACAAAGGATCTTTTGAGCTATCTACTCCATCAGTCCAACTTCGAGTTTTGCTTTGTGTTTTTTTTTTTCAGAGATCTTGTGCTTCTTGAGATATGGTTTGGAATGATATTATTAGCAGAATTCAAGTGCTAGTTTGCTTTTTGGTAGACGATATATGCAATGTCCTACAATATTTACAATTCAATTTTATCCATCTACTATCTCATGACTGCTTTATCTATTGTTTAGGATAGGAAACTTTCTACGGTATATAGATCGAAATTTAAGGAATTTCCAAGAGGTAAAAGATTCAGTTGAATAACCGGGAGCTTAGCCATTTTACTTTGGTAATAAATTTTGGTATAAAGAAAATAGGCTAATATTATGGGAAAATTGTCAAAAAAAGCATGAACTTTCAAAAACTGGCAAAAAAAACATGAACTATGACGAAAGCCATTTAATTCATCATATATCATATTGTGTTGACTGAAAATTTAAAACCTGAACTTATATTGACTTGGCCAAAACATACATGTCGTTAAATCCTTAAACGGATTGATTAAACAGAGTTTAACAACCGTTAAAAACCACGTTTAATTGATACAATGTCGTTTTACTTCTCTTTCCTTAAACCCAAAATCGATAAAAAAAAATTTCAATTTCTGCTTCTAACCCTAAATCCCCAAATCAATTTTCAAACTCTCCACATCGATTTCTTTCAAAATCTCGATTTCTCTCTTAGAGATGACCAAAAAAAGGAAGAACAAGCAGCTGCCAACCCGATGGAGTAAGCGTGCTACAACGAGCAGAGCAGAAGAAGAGCCGCATGATATTGGAGCTGAAGAAGAAGAATTCATCACAGTACGAATTCGAGAGCACCCTCAAGCTCCTGAACATCTCGAGCCTGTCAATACTGAAGAGAGTCGAAGTAAAACGGTTAATGATGAAGAAGATCAAAGTGCAGAAGAAGATCAAAATGATGGAGATAAAGGAATCCAACACGAAGGAGAGGTCGATAGTGAAGATGATTGCAGGGTTACTGGTGATGAGGATTGTGATGCAATTGATGATGCAGGTGATGAAGAAGCCGCTGCAGACGATGATGAAGAAGCTGCTGCAAACGATGATGAAGAAGCTGCTGCAAACGATGACCACGGATTAGGCGTCGAAGAAGAAGGAGAGTTAGAAGAAGACTTTCGAGAGGTTGTGAGAGATGAACCAGAGAGTGATGCGGACAGTGGAGATGATATATGGGATGATGAGAAGATTCCTGATCCTAAGTCTGATGATGAAGACGAAGAAGAAGATCCTGAAGAGGCAGAGCGTAGAGCAGAGCGTAGAGCTAATGAAGATGCAGATGAGTTGCTAGTATTGGGGAAAACTTTCAATTCTCCAGAAGATTTCAAGCTTACAGTTCTAAGGTACTCTCTTAAGCCCAGATACGACATTAAATTATACAGATCTCAATCAAAGAGGATCGGTGCAAAGTGTTCTGACACTGATATGGACTGTCCGTGGAGAGTTTATTGTTCATACGAGAGGAGAAGACATAAATTTCAAATTAAGGTGTATGTGGATGAGCATATATGCGTTAGATCAGGTTACTCCAAGATGTTGAAGCGATCAACAATCGCTTGGTTATATTCAGAAAGGCTGAGATTGAATCCAAAGTTTACAAAACAGGAGATGGTTGCTGATATTAAGATTCAGTACAATTTAGAAGTGACTGAAGACCAGTGTGCAAAGGCAAAGACAAAAGTAATGAGAGAAAGGAAGGCTAGTCATGAGAAACATTTTTCTCGTATATGGGACTATCAAGCTGAGGTTTTTCAGCGGAATGAGGGAACTAAGTTTGAGATGTTACTTTTTGAGTTTAGAATTGTTGTCTCACTTTCAGGTTTTATGTTATGACTATTTGATGATGCGTGTGTTGAATTGTTCTCTACAGATCCTATTTTTTTAGAAAAACTTACTTGCAGGGTTATAAACAAACCAAATATAGAACATGACGTTGATTAGATTACAAAAGTTTCATTGCATAAGACAATACATAAACAAACCACGAAAAGCTACGACACTAACTCAAAGCAAAGATACTAGTAACCAAGAACAATATTCATGTCTTTTGGTTTACCAATCATCAAGTAGACAACAGCAATGAACATCAAAAATAGACACACAAAACACAATCTGATCAAGAGTTTGCCATTCTGGATTTCCTTTTTATTGCACATCACATTTTCCTCCAATTCTTTGATTGTATCCTTTAGCTCTACAACCACCGTTTTCACATCTTCAACCTCCTCATACACAGAATCTTCCACCCACTTGAACAAATGTCCCTAGTTTGACAACAAAACAACACAAGAACACAACAACTGTCGTTATCGATTCTATGTCGATAAAGCTTGGGAAAGTTGACCCACATTATCAACTTCATACCAAATTAAGACATACCTTTCGTTTTGTTATGCAGCGGAAGAAAGGTCGTCCTGGATTTTCTTGAGTTTTAGATGTGTATATTGTCACCTCCGATCCACACATACATTTCGACGGAAACCCACGGTCGACACAAACAATACATTGCTCAGAACTGGTACTCATTGAGATAGGAGAAGGAAAATTCAGAGAAGAAATCGATGTGTGTGTGTGGAGATTTAGAGCTTGAGAATGTTTGAAAATTGATTTGGGGATTTAGGGTTAAAAACAGAATTGGGGATTTTTGGTCGATTTTGGAGTTAAAGAAGAAGAAGGTCGATTTTGGGTTTAAAGAAGGAGAAGTAAAACGACGATGTATCAATTAAACGTGGTTTTTTAACGGTTGTTAAACTCTGTTTAATCAATCCGTTTAAGGATTTAACGACATGTCTGTTTTGGCCAAGTCAACATAAGTTCAGGTTTTAAATTTTCAGTCAACATAATATGATGATTTAAATGGCCTTCATCATAGTTCATGTTTTTTTTGGCCAGTTTTTGAAAGTTCATGCTTTTTTTGACAATTTTCCCTAATAATTATTGGCTAATTATTAATTCTCAATTGGTTAATCGATGCAGCAAAAGTGTTCAAACAATCAAATGAATAAAGTGTGTAACGAATTTTCAATTATGATCTAAAAACAATTTGGCTTGACGACCGGATCGAAAAGTAGTCGGTTAAGTTACTAGACATTAGCTCTTCGCTGTGGCATTTTAAAGCCACAGATTGGGAGTTTTTCTCTTGTTAGGAGGTAGCCGATTTTGAGTCTGTATCTATCTTTTATGCCTAGTTCTTTTTGAATGCATCAGTTTCTAGAAGGGTTTTAATGGTTTTGTTTATGTGCTTTGTACTTTTTCGGGTTTGCGTTTTTCATTGTCTATTTTGTTGTCAATTTTTGTTTCGATTTAGTGCCTTCCTTGAGTTTTCAAGTATTTTGAAAGCTTTTATCAGTTTGGTTTTTTCCGAAGATCATGGTTTTCGGTTTAGTTTCAACATGTCTTTTTTGGCGTCCAATTTTAATGCTAATGGTTCTTTTTTTTTCCATCGATCCTTAGTTTTTATTGTTGGGTCTAAATTACTTGTGTAATTCTAGTTTTGTTTCCTTTCATATGGCTTTGTCTCCGGAAAATTATAGTAATCTTTGTTTCTGTTTTAAAACATATTAATTTTTGTGTTATTTTTTAATTCCACCTTAATATTTTAAATAAATTTAGACGATAAATAGTTACTAGAGATTAGAATAAGAGAGGATTTACCAAAAACAATGTTGAGTTTCGTCGATTTCTGTTGACATAATTGTTTGAAGAGAAATCAAACTAATGATTAAAATATAAAAAGTACCTCTCTAGGGTTTAAGTGTTGCATACGGCCAATGGCCTGAGTCAAGGGGCGCTAGTTCGTAAGTTTGTAATGCCAACTTCCCACTTTGACCTTTGATCTCACTAATCCACCAACAAAAGGCCATTACGCAACTTAAGTATTCAATAATTATACTACTTTATTATTTTCATAACTTATTGTTTTTACATATTTAACGTATTTTTTTCTCATTAACAAGGTTATCGCGCTGGTTAAGAGCCCGTTGTTGATTTTTATTGCCAAACAAACATTCTATCAAGAGGTTAGCAGCTTAATCACGAATATTCAACTTAATTTAAGAAGTTTTAATTTTTTTATCACTACACAATACTCCTGTTCTGAAATAAGTGATGTTTTAAGAGTTTTTTTTTTCTCAAATAAGTGATGTTTTCAATTTTCAATACACAAATCAATAATTTTTTATTATTTTTTGACTATTTGTATTCTGCAGATTATTTTTTTAATTGTTAAATTATGTTTTAACAAACAATAAATAATAGTTTTAGTATGGAAAAATTAAAAATTAAAAAAAATTTTAAATCTGTATGCAAAAATCTTAAACATCACTTATATTAGAACAAAATAAGTATTACAGTTTGGAAAAAGATGGTTTACACTTTTCTTCAAGCTTTCCAAATATCCAAACTTTTCTAGTTTTAGTTTAAAAGTTCACTAAACAGAAGTATAATCTAACATGTTTAGGGTACACTTATATTTTGATGTTTAGAGATTTTTTTTTTTAATCAATTTTATAGAGTTTTTTGTATTCTTTTTTTAGACTCTTTTTAAAACATATCTTACTATATAACGTTAAACTGTTTCATTTCACTTGTTCGGGTTTACTTTCATGATATATTTTATGTAAACTCAGTACTATCAAATTGGATTTCTGAGTTTTTCAAGATTACATCACTTGTTCAAAAATACTTTTCAATCTAAACACATATCATTTGTTTATATTTTCTATGACTAATTATATTCATAAAACCTTGATTATCTAACAGTATATATTTCCAGGACAATAATTTTATCACATAAAAAAAAACAGAAAACTGAATAGATTATATGATTTGTGTCATAACCTGATTAGTATTAATGAAAAAAAATATATACATGACAGATATCATGAAATAAAAGTTGTATCAATCAACAATTTTAAACTAGTCAAAAAAGTCTTGTTCTTTTTATAAACAAGTTTCAAAAACAATTAATCTTGATATAATCGGATTTAACATGAAACATATCTTGCAAAATATGATTTTTTTTTCTTCGCTATGTTTTTAATTTTCTATATAAAATATTTTCACTTTGTAATTAAAAGAAGATAATTTGTTTTTTAAAAATGAAACAACAGAAAAAAATAAAAACAAAATAGAAAAAATTAGCCGTCGAAGGTAGCAAGTTGGGCCGTCACGGCCTTCCAAAAGCCACACTGCCCTTCCTTCCCCTTTTATATTTCCTTCTCCTCTCTTCTTCACCAACCGCTCTCGTAGTCTCCGCCTCCTCCTTCTTCCTCATTCTCTGTCTTTTCTGTAAGTTTCAGATTCCCAGATTCGATTTGATTCTATTTTATTTTTGCTGTTTCTCTGATAATTGTTTTCGTTTTTCTCAAGTTTGTTTTGAATGAAACGATGTTTGTAGATAAAATCATGGAATCTACTTGTATGTTGTTTTTATTTGAGTTCTTTGTGGGGACAAAAAAAATCTTCTTTACCAAAATATCTTCCGATTGGATTTTTCCTCTCTATATCGTTATCTGATAGTGACCGATCGCAAATCGAACTTATTAATTGCAAATTAATCGTTTAATTCAACATTCAATCGATTTGATGAACTTTTGTTATTTGTTGATGGCGTCGATCTTTGTTGCTGTTGTATAGTTAATCTTGGTTCAAGCAATTGATTTGATTAAACAAAAACATGTTTAGGGTTTTAGTATTATTTCATTAGTCTTTGTGTTTTTGGAGCATCGAGTGAAGATCTATATAAGTTTTCAAGCTTGAATCTTCTCATTACGCTCCATAGAGTAAACTTAACACATCAGTTTTGCAATTTGGAACAGATTCTCTTCTGATTCTAGCTTCCAGTTGCTACTTGTGATGCACATTCTCTCGATTGTTTTGGCTCGCATTTGTTTGGTTTATGTCTAAAACTGTCTACTAATGTTGAGATCAATGCATCAACTGTTAATAAGTTCGTCCTGTGAATGCAATTATGTGTGATTGCAATTATGTGTGGTGTGTATTAGTGAAGCTTGTTCTCCTTTGTGTAAAGATGAGTTGAAGTTTATATTGATATGTTTATTAATGATTGATGTTTTAAGAAACCCTAAATCTTAAGCTTGTGTAACCGCAGGTGAAAACAAAAAACAAAATGGCGACCGTGCGACTCTCTTCCACTAGCATGACCAAGGCGGTTCTTAGAAGCCAGCCTACCAACAAGCTCAACGTTACCAAGAGCCAGCAATTCTCAATTGGATCAGTCAATAAAGTCTCAAGATCCTTTGGCTTGAAATGCTCAGCGAACTCTGGTGCCACGATGTCGGCTGTATACAAGGTCAAGCTCATAGGACCCGAAGGCCAAGAAAACGAGTTCGAGGTCCAAGACGACCAGTACATATTGGACGCAGCTGAAGAGGCAGGAGTTGACTTGCCTTATTCTTGCAGAGCCGGTGCGTGTTCCACTTGTGCTGGTCAGATCAAGGAAGGCCAAGTTGACCAGTCTGATGGTTCGTTTCTTGAGGATGATCACTTGGAGAAAGGTTTTGTCTTGACTTGTGTGGCTTACCCACAGTCAGACTGTGTGATCTATACACACAAGGAAACTGAACTCTTCTAAGTCTGGTCTGTGTTTGGTATGATGCAAATTGGTTATTCGGTCATCGAAAATTTGTGTGTTTTTAAGGTCAACTTGTATGGAAACGTTTCAGGATATGCCTTTTAGTGTTCATCAAACCGGGTTGCAACTGGTTAATAAAGTGGTTTAAGTGTTAACCAATAATTCTGGTTTTTTTTGTAAGTTTATTTCTTAAAATATATCATATTCTGGTATTCAGATTGAATTTAAGATTTATTTGTAACCTATCCCAAAATTGAATTGGTAAGGTTTATTGGTCGGTAATCTATTATATAAAGACTCATCCTTAAAACACGTCATTTGCCATATCAATTTAAAGAATTTGTATAACATTTGTTAGAAAAATACCCAAATTTGTTTGACTCCTTTAAAAATACCTGAACTATTAATCATTTCTTTTAAAAACACAAACTATTAATTACTCTCTTTTTAATACTTAAACAATTAAATTTGATAATTTTACAAAACAATAATTTCAGAAACCCAGTTTTACCCTCAGTTATTTCTTAGATTTAATTTATTTTTATTACAAAAACAAAAATATAATTTATTAACCTAAAAAAATTTATCTTCCTTCTCCGACCTTTTCTCTGCAATTTAATATCATGTCCCTGCAAATGAAATTCTCAACCATATGAATCAATGTGTTGATCGATCCAAGAAATCAAGAATATGTTCAATAGAAGCAAACTATTTTTGTAATCGATCCAAGCAGTGACCAATTTCTTAGATTTTAGATTCATTTAAGGCTAGATCGATGGATCTGAGGTCGAGATTGAGATTAAGTTATTCATTTGATGAATTTAAATAGGGATCCAATTTGGTGTCAAATTTGATGAATTTGGTTCAGATAATTGAAATATGGATCCAATTTGGTGTCAAATTTGATGAATTTAATCTTCAACTCCATGAGAGAAATTGACTAAGATGTCGTTGTCGTGAGAGAGGAAGAAAGAAAGGTGTGTCACCGAAAGAATCTTGGTATACATCTCTGATAATCTAAATTTGCTGGAAAGATGAAATCGAGAATTGTTAAAGTCTGCAGAAGGTCCATCGACAAGGAACTCACCAGAAAATGCAGAGATTAGATCGGAGTCCAACGGGGTTGATTTCATGATCAGGAAAAGGAGTCATTGACAAAAAATCTTGAAGATAATCGCAGTCCAAGATGAATATAGCTTTTGAAGCCGGCGGAGGAGAAAATTGCATTGAGTCTCGTCAAGATGTTCGAATGCGGAGAGTCGGAGACGGTTTGAATCGAAGGCGGAGAGTTGGAGACGGTCTCGTCAAGAATTTTTTTCAGGTTTTTAAATTATAGTTTTGTTTTTCTAATAAAATAAATTGAATCTAAGAACTAATTGAGGGTAAAACTGGGTTTTTGAAATTATTGATTTGTAAAATTATCAAATTTAATTGTTTGAGTATTAAAAAGAGAATGATTAATAGTTTGTGTATTAAAGTGAAATGATTAATAATTCAGGTATTTTTGAGACAAAAAAATTTAGGTATTTTTCTAACAAATGTTATACAACGTGGGTATTTTAAAAGTTTTTCCAATCTTCTTTTTCCTTTCTCTCTTTCGTCATCCTCACTCACATGAGAAGAAAAAAAAAATGTGGTGCGTTTTATTTACAGGATCGAGTTATAACTTGAAAATTTGTCAACTATAAGAAGAATAATACGAAGAAGTTCTTATATTCGTGTTTTACAACACATCTTTGTTTCATTCAGATATTCTGTATCTATTAAAACACATTCTATCTTTCTATTTTATTTTATAATAATTCCCAAAAATTATGTGAACGTTATCTCATTTTCAAATAATCTATTCTATTTAAAGGAATTTTCAAACATTCTCATCAATTATATGGTCTACTACCTATCAGAAGTTAGAAGTTATATGTTTTCACTTTTGTATATTATAATCAATTTTAAATAACCCAAATAGTAATGAGTAGTAGGCAGTAATGAAATTTGATTCAAACTATATAGTTTGACGAACAATTCAAAGCCAAACTCGTTTAAATGACAGCAATCTTTTTATGTTATTTGAATTCTTCTTATGCTGTGTAATTTGTTTACAACTCATGTGTTAGAAGATTTTGAACTTTTAATATTTCACCACTGAACTTGCATTTGAATTTTTCCATATTAAAAAAATCCCCAACTGACATAAGTTAAACATCTGTCATTGGCATAAAATTAATTAAAGTCAAAATACCTTAAAAACTCTACAACAAAATTTTTTCATGCACGTTCTACCTTCTACAAATATTATCAAGAAATTGTTTCAAACTTACTTACAATAATTACTCATTCTAAATAATTTATTCAGTGTAGGACCACGAAAATCCGATTGAAATCAAGAATAGAAAATAGCAATATTATAAACAATATGTTAAGGTAAGAGATTAAAACGGGAGTTAAAAAACCGATTGAAAAAGACGAAAACACGGAGTCGAGATATAATCTCTTTCCTTAACTCAATAAATCGCCCGTAATGTGTGACGTTTTGTTGCGATTTTTGAATCCCAGGATACAACCGTGATGAGACTATTACGCAACACCCGTAATGGAATCTGCGAACTGAATTATTTGCGATACTTACGATATTAAGACGAGAGGGATATGCTGGAAAGAATTATTTGCTGTGTGTTTGGTGTGTTCGAGAATTCGATTGTTTAGAATGAGAGAAGAAGGCGTCTATTTATATTGGAAGGTTCAGCTTGATCCGCAAGGAATAAGCTTTGGCAAAAAAGAATATTCACGAGATATTCTCCTTTTTCTGCAAGCAAAAGGATTCGAAAATCTTCCGTTATTATCTGGACGCAATCTTTTATTTCCTAAGATTTATCCTTTCAAAATGCAAAAAATATTTCGTAGGAACTAAGAAGTCCACGACCCACACCCAGCTATATAGAGCCCAAGAGCCCAAGAGCCCTAAGAGCCAACTAAAAAATGCAACGTGCAACGTGCAACGTGCAACGTGCAATGAGCAACGAGCCCGGCACCGGCACCGGCACCGGCGGCGGCGCGCGTAGGTGTTTTTGCATAATGCCTTTTTACTTCCACAATGCTGTTGACCCTTATTGTGAAAAGGCCATATATATACAAGAGATTTTTCTCCTTGGTGAGCAATGTGGGACAAATACACTTCCACTAAACTTCCACTTTTAGTTATAGCCAATAGGAACATCTCATTTCCATAGGCGGCCCATTTGCTTATTAAACTTCATTTTTTACTCACACACAAACACAATGTTACAAATCCAAATGCTTATTAATATTGGGTTCCAACATTCAGATGATCAATTATAAAAATTTTAAACTACTTTTTTTTGGTTAAAGAATTTTTAAACTACTTTTCAGATCAATTTACGGTGTGTCTGTATATGACACAGAGTCGGACATCTATATATTAGCCATGGGACCGACGTCAATGTTGTTAATTTTCTTAACTTATGTTCAGAATATGTTCCCTATTTAATAACCAGTAAAATACTTGAACCTTTAGACGAAATTAATTGGTAATAGCTTTAGTGGTGTTATATGCGAATATACAAACGTTAAGAAAAACAAAAAACGTGACTACCACAAAAATTAGAGCGAGTTATTAATATTTTTTTGACTGCTAAAAGAGGGAATTATTCAAAATAATTTAAACATGTCAAAATCTAAATCTGATCGTTTAATCGTTTAACTTGACATACGTGATACTAATTTCGAATCATTCTCTTTTACTAATTACCTTACGTGTGTTGATCACATTGAACGCCTTCAACTTTATAATACTTATGTTTCTAAATGAGCCAAAAATATATTTCTACTTTAGGCAAAATATTATATTGGACAGTTTCTGAAGATACTTATCAAACTTTTTTTTGGCAGCAAGGACTCCATAGACTAATGATCTGGTGGGAAGAGGCTCACCTCAATAAGGGGCCAATCTGACTCCAAGTTGTTTACATGGAAAACATGAGTTCTTGTAATCTTACCCTTTTCAGGAAATTAAGCAATCATCACAAACATCATTACAGTTAACGTGGAATTAAACCAATTGAAAATCAAGAAACTTCTCCTTAAGGGAAGAAAAACTATCTAGCTCCGTTGAAAAGAAGAAAATGTAGGAAACCTGGAGAAGAAGACAATGTAAGAAACATGGAGAAGAAGACAATGTAGGAAATATGGAGGGATCTTTGATTATAGATTCTTAAACTTTATCGAAATTCTTTTTGGCGAGATTATTCGGCAAACTCTTGCTTCAAGCACGGATCTATAACTTCATTTAGTATGGGCATACATTATTGATATATTCATCAATTACATCTACATATTTAATTCCAAATCATGTCTCATTTGCATACATTTTAGGTATTGTTTTAGGACTTAAGAGATTGCATTAGGTCCAAGAGAGTTTTGCATGGTTTGGAGTGTTAAACAGGTGCTTATGGGGGCCTATTTGGAGTGGAGACTGTGAACCAGATGAAAAAATGGACTTGAAATGATCAAAAATGGTGAAAATGGGCGTTATGGAGCTTCTCGGCAAAAGAATGTACTGATGGTCGGAGATTCTCGGCTAAAATCAATACCGCAGGTAGGATTCTCGGCCAAAACACGTACTGGTCGCTTAAGCTTCTCGGCCAAAACTTTCGGGTGCAGATACATCTCAGAAATCGCGTTACCGAAAGATCTTGCCGGAAGATTCAGCTTCCGGATTATTCAGCAAAGATCAAGATAATTGAATCTAGATTCCAGAACATTTAGAATCAAGGCATTTGGAGCAATGAGACGAAAGATATGGCTACCGGAAAACAAACATGTCTCACACTCATTCTGGAGAAATCCGATACACCTCAAAGACATCGTTACCGGGAAGCCTTCCCCTCCGATCTGGTTTACAGGGTCTTCATTAAAGTTGGAGAGAACTGAGTCTAGTTTCTAGACCGCTTGGAATCATGAGATTTGGAGTCGTGAGCATATTGCAACCGGAAGGAAGACATGTCTAAAAGCAGATTTGGACCCGTGCAATGCACCTCAGAGATTAGCCCTCCGGGAACCATTGCACTCCCCGGATGAAATTGAGTTCTTCATCAAAGTTGGAGCTTAATGAATCACCTTTCATGTGAAATTGGTTTGGTAGCATTTAGAGTTGTGAGCTGTGAGTTCTAGAAGGCGAGAGACAGACATATCAGCCAGACGTCTAAGAGTGGATAAGGTGCTAAGTGTCATGGTTTGACACGGTGATAATGCCACGGCCTGGGCTTGGTCGTAGCATAATATGACAACTCTCGGGATTTGACACGGTTACCATGCCACGGCCATGCATTAGGCCGTGGCAACATCTGAAACTTGCTAAAGAGTTAAAGGAGCATGACACGGCCTTAATGCCACGGTATAACCTGACCATGGCAATGTTCTGCCAACCTTCGGTGATTTACACGGTGAGAATACCACAGTCTACACCAGACCGTGGCAAGGTACTACTGATGAAGCCAACCTTCAGGATTTGACATGGTCTTGAGGCACGACCTTGAACCTGACCACGACAAGCAATGAAGATCTTTGATACGCCCATAATGCCACGGCCAAACATCAGGCCGTGGCAATCACCGAATGTCCACGCCTTGACACGAACATATTGACACGGGATGACACAAGACCGTGGAAATCCAAGAAGTTCATCACCCTAACTCAGAAAAGAAGAGACACGACAACTAGACATGGTTTAATTCAAGCCATGGCAACCTTGATCATGAAGAATCTGTCCAAGAACTTTGACACTGTCAGTTTGCCACGGTCTGGCCAAGCATCATCTGACCGTGGCAAACCACACCACTATCCATCAAAGCCGGGTCAGGACCCAGATTGTCCTGGGCTTACCCGGCCCATTAGGACTTAGTGTATATATGTTCTTTTAATCTTTTCTTTTCTTTCTTTTTATGGATCTTTTGATGTTTTTGTGAGGTGTTCTCAGGTCCCAGGTAACTTTTGGAGGCTATGGCTCAAGAAAAAATGAAATGAAGCGTATGAGAAGGCTGAGAAAGGGAGTTCAGGCCAAGCAAAACCCATCTCCAGTGATGTCTAGCCTCACCTGGTGCAGCTACTCACTCCACCTTTGCATAAAAACCACACCAGGTATCACTCCAAACACTTGTAAATGAGCATTCAGCATTTTTCATTTGTCATTTGCATTTTTGAGTTTGCTTTTTCCTCTTTCTCATGCTTTTATAACACAGGGGACTGTGTTATTTAAGTGTGAGGGAGGGGTTTTGTGTTTACTAACCATGTTTTTTCTTGTTCTTATTTTGATTTGCATTTTGAGTCTGCATCTAAGTGCATATAAAAACCAAAAAAATCGAAAAATCAAAAATTTTCACAAAAAATGTTCATTCTAGTTGCATTTCACATTTTTAGGATTGAGTCTAGTTGCATCATATAGGTTGCATTGTGCATGGGAGTAATGATAGGTTCTTTCCTTGAGAGTACATCATTTTGAGAATTTGGATTAAATATGCTTGTGAATGACTTCTGTGCTTGCAAGGCTTGAAATGATTTGAATCTGAGAAGCAAGTTTGAATTGAACTCAACTCTAATAAGTGAAAACATTGAAATTGACTTGAAATTATCCTTTGATGCATTGTTTGAATAAGTTTGTGGATACCGATATACATATTTGAGCTAGAATCCTGTTTTTACCACCCTCTTCCTTAGCTCAAATAGCTGAGTCCACATCTGGATCAGTTTTCCTCACCCTGAACCCATCCTTTCTTCAAGCCAAATGTTTGTGTGTGATTGAAAGGCCACCTTGGATCAAACTTAGCAGAAAGTGTTAGGTTTAGCATTCATGGATGTATCATTCACAATATTGATGAATAGCATCTATAGAGATTTTTCAAAAAATTCAAAGAATTTGTTTGGAATAGTGTGGCTATCGATTACTTCAATGGTGTCTTACCTCGATGTGGAAAAACTGAGAAGAGATTTGGAGTAGATGTGAATGATGTTTATGTAGTTTTAAACGTAAACAACAATCATTGGATTGCTCTTGCTATTTCGATCCCTCACCGGCAGATTGATGTGTATGATAGCAGTGTTGTGCATACTGATGATAAAGCTTTATATCAGTTTGTGAAGCCGTATGCGAAACTATTTCCACATTTGATGAGATTGTTAAGTCTTCCACTTAATCAAAGTGCAAGTGTTGTCCAGTATACGATTAAGATGCAAAACAGAATTCCTCGAAACATACAATCAGGTGATTGTGGAATATATGCATTGAAATATATTGAATGTCTTGCCTTGAATTGCGACATGGAAGCTGGTCTCTGTGATGCAAATATGAAGAACATTCGGAAGAAAATGGCAGCAGAAGATTTTTTGGGAGCAGATCATTGTGGAAAAACGTTTTTTGTTTTTCTAGCATTTTTTTGTTCTTTTTAATTTGAGATTTTTAGGATTTTAAAAGGTTGTCTTTTAGGATAGTTACGAGCTCTAAAACTGTCTCAATTTAGTTTTTCTATTATAGTTCTTTTTAGTTTGAAATTTTTAGGATTTTCATTTTTTTTGGGCTAGGTACGAGCTCTAAAACTTTTGTCTCAGTTCAGTTGTTCTTCAATTTGTTTTTCAAAAACCAGTTTTGGTATGGTGATTGGATGCTATGAATTTCAATTCTTATAATAGTTCATTAGTAGTATCTGAATTTTAATTTGAATTTGAATCCACAAAAATATCTTAAGACTTAAGACCATTAACCTAAACTGAAGAAGGATGCGTTGCAGAGGAAGAATAATCTATGTACAAAGACAGAGCACCATAAGAAGCGTTTTGATAAAATATTGTGAGATCTATCAATAAGAAGATAAAGGTAGGATGAGAAAAGAAATGAATAAATAGAGTGAGATAGAAGATTTCAGAAGAGAAACGAAGAGTAGTAAAAGAAGCGAGGAGGAAGAAGACGAGAGATAAAATGAGGAGAGTTATGAAATGTTTTGGATTAGTTCTTTGATAATTGTTTGCAAGGTCGGTCTAATAATTCAACCAAAAACAAAGACAAAAGAGGCTTAACGTAAATACGTACTCATGGCCCAGCTCAGACCCATTATTCTAAATAAAACGGTGGTTCGCCCTAACGTATCTTCTCCCCCATACTTTACGAGGTAGCCGCACATAAATGAATTCGTACGGTATATATTTGGACTAAATCTTCTCTCTGTACGAAGAAAGGAAAAATCCTTTATCTTCTTTTTTTTTTTATATAACGACATTTTATTGAAGATTAAGTGCTTGATACATAGTCTTTATGTAACAACATACAGTAAAACCTCTATAAATTAATAATATTGGGACCATAATATTTTATTAATTTATCGTGATATTAATTTATCTATAAATTAATAATTTATAGAGAAAATTTATTTTCCGCATATAATTTTTTTAAAAATTTTTTTGGAATAATGTTATATTTTAAAATTTTTACAAATCTGATAATATAAATTATAATTAACAATTATAACTATCACAATAAAATAGTTTTTAACACCATATTAGATTGTCCATGTTAAAATATACATGTTCATAAATTAAAAATTTATAAAAAAATCATGGCTATTATCAGTATTATTGATAATAAAATTGAAAATAATAATACAATACATTTAAAAAAATTTACAAGTAAGATAATCAATTATCACATCAAAAAATCATAATAAATTTTAAATGTATGTAGTAAAACAGCATTAAGAACTATTGATATAATAATTAGAGAATTGAGAACCAATGAGATTTCAACTTTAAGTAAAACCAAATACATTAATCATATTTTAGAATATTATGTTTATATATATTTGCATAAATTTATATAATTATTAATTATGTTTTTGTTGGGACTATATATTTACATAAGAATTTTTCAAAAAATATTATCTTATTATCTTATTTAATTTGATGAATTTTTACATTTGCCCGATTTGGGACCAGCAAAATTTATTAATTTATAGTGATTATTAATTTATCGTGTTTTGCCAGAGTAATATCAGCGTGGATGTTGTGGCATCTTTTTATCCAAGATAAGTTGACTTCCTCAAATTTTCTTTTCCATTTCATATCAGAGAATATGATTCGGTTTAAAATGGTAAAGATAAAGACGGTTTAGTTGAAACGGGTTGTGCTTTTGATAGAAGTGAAATCAAGGCGTTATAGTGGAGATCATTAGTGATGATTACTTGGAGTTTTGTATAAACGATAGAAGTGACGATTTCGACGGAGATGCTTGCTTTCGTCAAGTCCACTCCTGAATTCTCCAGTGCTTATCTTAGTGTTTTCACTAACCTGAAGCAAAACAAAACATTTTTACATTTTTAATTTTAACTGTTACAAGATCAATAGAGCAAAGAGATTTTAGTTTTACCCTTGTGATTAAACACTTGATATACTGATGTTACCCTCATGAACTTCGTCATCATCTTCTTCTCCTTCTTCTTTCAATGGCTGAGTCAGACTCCGAGAACTCGGGCTTGGCTCTACGGTTTCTGATGATGCGTCTCTTGTGTGGAACTGAGTTACGGGGTTACCCGCAATTACAGGAGAGAATAAACTGTTGCGCGCTTTGAAGTGACAAAGGAAATGGAGTGGTCGTTGGCATTGCTCGGTTCAATGTTTCTGATAGATCAATAGCACCGCCTTGTTCTGTTGCAAGGGCTGGAACCGGAATGTTGTTCTTCTCTTCTTCCAACTTAGGAGCAAAAGCAACGGTTCCTTCAGGTACTAGCTGTTAATTGTTTCTCTGCTGTAATGTAAATTGATCAAACATATATTAACATTACAAGATTTGTTTTTTTTTTTCAGTTTCAAACCAGGAAGAAAAAGAACCACGTATGGTTGAGAAATTTGAGATTATAATTACCCAATTCAATAGCTTCGCAGGTTCGTGATTCCATCCTTGGTAAGGGGTCTCATACTTATTTGCTTTCTCCTGTAAGAATTGAATATACTCGATAACCTGAAATGTGGTTCAAGAAGAATATTTTGGATGTTAGGAAAAGATGAGACTGAATCTACCGTTACAGAAAGTTTGGCGAAAAAATGATAGTTATACTTCTAGTAAGAAGGAGGCCTTGTCCAGCTTTTGGTCGCTGTTAGGTATTAGTTGTCTTAACATTTGAAATCTGCAGAGAGATCCATTTACAATGTTTGTTGGTTGTGAATATCGCTACTTTGAGGGTCATAATTCTGATCCTGTCAACATTGACGGTCATAATTCTAACGCGGTTGACATTAATGGTCTTTGGTCTGATGCAGTCGATGTTGAGGGGAACAGTTCAGATGAGAGTCATGGTTTTGAAGCTGACAGGAAAAACTTCTCTGATAATAACTGGAAAATGGAAGCCATTTAGGAGGACTTCAGAAGCCATTTATTGAAAAGTCGAATAGACTGTAGACTAAGCTTGTATTATGCTGTTTCCATTTGCTATATGTAACGAGAAAACACTATTGTAAAGGTTAACAATGAATTAATCAAATATACTTCTTAAACTCTTCTCTCTCTCTCTCTCTCGTATTCTTACACTTCTCATCTTCTACTGCTCTTCTCTCTCATTTCTTTTTTTTTTGTTAAAAGATCCTCTTCTCATTTCTTCTCCTCTTATCTATTCTTCCCTGATGGAAAAAAAAAAATCTATTCTTCTCTGATATTGGGGCTTATCACAGAACCCAAATACTCAATTGCAGAGAACAATTGCAGAGATTTACATAAACAACAAAATTCCACATAAAAGAGAAAAGTAAAAACATACCAAATCCCAAAAGCTAAATTCACTTACGTTGAAATAAAGAAGTTCAAATTCACAAAACAAAAGAAAAATCAGAAAAGAAGAATAATACCAAAATCCAAACTCGCACCCTAAAACCAAATTGAAGAATACCTAAAAGACTAAAACAGAGTAAACAAATGAAAATTCAAATGCCCCAGAACGCCAAAACTCTCATGAAATAACGTAATCACAGGTCGCACGATTATGGTTTGGACGATTACATCTTGAACAAGCATGTTCTTTTCTTGGACGTTTCATTATCGTTTCTTCAATTCCTTGGTATCTCCTCTTTTTTGGTCTTCCTGGAGTCTGACATCCCTTGGGAGGCAAACATATCTGACTAGTAATATCGGGAAGCTCCTCTGCAGGTCTTATACTCTCTGAGTATGCCGAAAACCAGTATGATTTTGTGTAGTAAGGATCTACTATCTCTTGTGGATCCACTTGTCGTCTCTTACAAACCGCAATCGCATGTTCACATGGTATCTTGTCAACATTAAACACACGACAAGTACATGAGTATTTTATCAGCCAATGGCTTGAGTAAAGTTTTTTTTTTTTGATAAAATGTGAATATATTACCAAAAGGAAAGTTTAATACATAAGCTAATTAGCAGGGCCCAAAAAAAGATAAAAAAGCCGAAGGAAGCAAGCAATAATTACACGATAGTTAGAGAGCTAATCTAGCTATAAGTGAACCAAAGGGAGAGAAGACCGCTGCAGCCTTTGCGGAAGCGACGGGCAAGTAGGGTATCTCTGATGGTTCTGTCAATTTGAAGAAAAATCCTATTGTGAGGTAGGGAGGTGTCGTTATGGATTCTGTTATTTCTCTCCTTCCAGAGATAGAAGATAACCGTCTGAACAGAGAGACGTTTAAGCATAGTTGCTTGCCTATTACTTGAACGAGCCAGGAGCCATTCCATCATCGAATTCCAAGTGTCAAATGTATCATGAGGGAGGCCTAGTCGATTTAGGACCTGTTGCCAAACTTGCATTGAGAAATCACATTGAAGGAACAAATGATCCCGAGATTCATGATGGAGAGAGCAGAAGGTACACTTTGGATCGACATTCAAACCCCAACCTGCAAGTCTCGCTTTTACAGGAAGTCTATCAAGATTTGCCACCCAAAAAGTGAAACAGTGCTTCGGAACACCAAATTTCAACCAGACAATTTTAAACCAAGGCCTATGCACATCAGAAGGCCGGAGAATGTCCCATGTTTTCTTTGAGGAGAACTCTGGATTCGCATTAGAGATTGGACCCCATAGAAAAGTATCTGGTCCAAGATTACTGTCAGGAATAGAAGAATATCTAAGAAGCTCCCGCACCTTACACACCGACTCATTTCTTGATCTTGAGATGACATTCCAGTCTCTCATAGTGAAGGCGTGATTTACAGAACTCTCAGCCGAAATTCCCATTAACATTGGGCCATGAGTGCCCACAAACTCCATAAGGGGACCAAATTCACACCAGTTATCAAACCAGAAACTAGCCAATCTACCATTTCCAACTTTGCAACTGAGAAGGTGTTTCGCCAATTGTCTCAAAGACAAGAGAAATTTCCAAACCCATGAGTCAGTGCTTTTAACGACATAAGACCAAAAGCATGATCGTTTCAGTCTATGTTCTCTTATCCAAGTCACCCATAGGGAATCTGAATTTGTGAAAATGAGCCAAACAAGTCTCAGATTTAAAACTTTGTTCCAAGACAAAAAATCCCTAAGGCCGAGACCTCCTTCCTTCTTAGGTAAACACACCTGCTTCCAACCAACCTTCACCATTGCTTTGTTCTCCAGAACACCCGACCACAAAAAACGATTACAGAGCTTCTCGATAACTTTAAGACAGCCTTTCGGTAATGAGAAGGCGGAGAACCAAAAATTCACAAGACTGTATATAACAGAGGTGATTAGCTGCAAACGACAAGCAAAGGAGAGAGATCTTACCGTCCAAACCTTGAATTTTGCAGCTATTTTATCAGTTAAGGGAGAGTAATCGGATTTCCTGAGTTTCCGGTGAAGCAGAGGAAGGCCAAGATAACGGATGGGGAGAGAACCCTTTCGGAAGCCAAACATGTTGAGAGATTCGGCTTCATCAGGGTTCAAACCCGCTGAGAATAAATCCGTTTTATCCTTGTTCATACCTAAACCTGAGAGACTTTGGAACTGATCCAGAGAAGACGAGATACCCTGAAGCGAATTAGCTGATCCGTCAAAGAGAATGATGATGTCGTCCGCAAAAGCCAGATGGGAGATCTTCGGGTTCCTAGCAAGAGGGTGGTAACCAATGCTTCCCGAATCAAATCTTGCATTTAAAATGTTTGAATAAACCTCCATAGCAATAACAAAAAGGGAGGGAGATAAGGGATCCCCCTGCCTCAGGCCTCTGGTCCCTTTGAAGAACCCACAAAGCTCCCCGTTGACATTTATAGAAAAGGAGGTTGTTGTTATGCACTCCGCAATCCACGATGTGTATGTAGGCGGAAATTCAGCAGCTTTAAGAATCTGGATGATGAAATCCCAATTTACGGAGTCAAATGCTTTTCTTAAATCCACTTTTAACAAACCTCTCCTTGAAACGTTTGCATTCCCAAACCCATGGACCATTTCAGTTGCAAGCAAAACGTTTTCAACCAGGAGTCTGCCTTTGACAAAAGCGGATTGGGAGTTGGAAACCATACCTGGCGTAATAGCCTGGAGCCTCCTTGCCAAAATCTTTGAAATAACCTTGTAAACAACATTGCAGAGCGAGATGGGTCTGAAATCCACAAGTTTATCGGCTCCAACTCTTTTAGGAATCAGAGAAATAGCCGTACAGTTCCATTGTTTAAGCAACTTCCCGGATTCGAAGAATTCACGAACTGCCTTTGTTAGATCCTCACCGATGATATCCCATGTGCATCTATAAAATTCCCCAGTGAAACCGTCAGGGCCTGGCGTTTTGTTACGAGGCAGAGAGAAAACCTCCCTTTTAACATCCTCGGCGGATACCGGAGCCTGCAAGCTTTGTTTCTCCTCATCACTACATCTGAATTTGGTGAAGGTACGGATCTGGTCATGTTCAGAAGCAGATAGGGGTCGAGAGTTACGTCCGAACAGGTCAGTGAAATAAGTCACTCAATGATCCTTCACTTCCACAAGGTCCGTAAGTCTGGATCCCTCACCATTTAAAAGATAGTGGATTTGATTTGCTGAGCGTCTGGCAGCTACCACTCTATGGAAAAAAGCCGTGTTACTATCCCCACATTCAATCCACTTAACTCTAGACCTCTGAATCAAAATTTTTTCTTCTGCGAGAGCCAGAGTCATCCAACGCTTGTGAGCCTGTTTTTCTTGACTAGCCAGCAGAGGAGAAGGAGAAGTCAGTAGCCTGTTCTGACAATCAATAAGCTCGCTGTGTGCCTCTTTGACTCTAAGTTCCAGATCAGAAAAGTGTTCTCTGTTGATGTCTTTGATGACCTGCTTCAGGGACTTTAGCTTTTTGGACAAGGAAAACATTGCCGATCCAGGGAAAAAAGTCACATGCCAATGAATAGCAACCCGAGCAAAGAAATCTGGGTGGTGAAGAAGGAAATAAGAGATCATGAAGGGCTTTTTACCGGCTTGATGATTACCAATAACAATAGCAGCAGGACTATGATCTGAGAAGTCTGGTTCCCCAAAGTAAGCGAAGGAGAGAGGGAATTCCATTTGCCAAGAGTCATTGATAAGGATTCGGTCCAACTTCTTGGCAATTGGGTTTACCTCTTGGTTATTCCACCAAGTAAATTCTGATCCTCTGATAGAGAGATCAAAGAGACCGGCTGAAGAAGCACAGTTCCTGAAATCCTGCATTCCCCTAGAAATCCTGGTTCCGCCATTTGATTTTTCCGAGGGATTTAGGATTTGATTAAAATCACCCATCACAGCCCAAGGTAAGAAAGAGATTGCGGGGTTAACAGAAAGCGAATGAAGATCATCCCACATCTGTTGACGACCTGATTTACTATTAACACCATAAACATAAGAAATACAGACCTCAGAGGTGGTATGAGGGAGCTGAATCACGCAAGTAATGATCTGACTGGATTTAAAGAAGACAGTTAAGGTCACCGAAGGATCCCAACCAACCCAGATTCGTCCCAGCTCCGCAAACTCATAGTTAGAAACAAAATTCCATCCAGGAAATGTGCTTTGGAAATAGCGAAGAGGCTTGAGTAAAGTTGTAGGCTTTGCTGCATTTTCTCGCCGCTCACAAAACCATCGTGTAAGTCGTTCTCTTATCACCTCAATCATCTGCACTTCTTTAAACACAGCATTGAGCGACTCCGCTATGTTACTTGTAGTTACATTATAACGATCTCCTCGAAAGTGAGCTCGAGACCACATCTGTAAACCAGCCTCCTCCAGATACGTGCTTAGACTGGGATTTTGATAATGAATCTCACGAAATAGATCACTGTGGATCCTAAAATCCACACTCAAGAGTTTAGTGTTTGGTTTAGTGGAAGAAGAATTGGGGCAAGAATTCTGGTGAGAGTGATGTACAGTAAAAGACTAAGATCGACGAATTTGGATTGTATTGATGAGATTATGAGTTTACAAGTATGTTTCTAGTTAAAAATTGAATGGCTTTTTACATAGAAGCGATCTCAATAGCAATAATAATTGCTACTTTATAAGGATCAAATTCCCACGTCTTTTCACCATAACTGCACGCCTCCACTTTCTACAAGGTAACTTCTCGTCTCCCTTTTTTTTTATTTTGGTTTTCAGTTTTCCTTGATTTCCTTTGCTCGAGGAAAACAATTTTCTATTTTTCGCAAAAATTTTGCTTCGAGAAAAACTCTGTTCCCCGAAACATTCTCCGATGGAGCATCCCGATATCCCGACAATCTCGGTTGTTTCACAGTCCGAGCTTACTCGCCTCCGCCGAGTCCACGACATTCCCTTGGCGATTGAACTCATCGTTCCTGACAGAGGGGAGACGCCGAAGACTGTGCGCGCGGGCTATTGCGTCGCATACACCCCATTCTTCGATGCATGCGGGCTCTCCTTCTCGATTCCATCGGGGCTTCCTGCTATCTTGGCGGATCTGCAGCTGGCGTTCCTGCAGATGAACCCTAACTTCGTCCGCCACGCCTTAGCGCTGCTGGTTAGGGCGGCGGAGTCTCGGATTCCTTTTGGAATCAACGAGCTCCATCGAGTTTGTTCTATTAAGAGAAATTCTTCCTTTCCGGGGTCATTCTATCTGTCTCCCTGGAAGAATCAAAGTATCTTTGAAGATATCCCCGCCCGCGATGATCGCTGGAAAGAGAAGTACTTTTTTTTTCGGATCAACGAGCACTCCGTCGGATCCTTCGATTTTAGTCGGCTGCCTACTGTTTGGTCTCCGAGAGTTGGTTAGCATTAGGGGAGTAAATTTTATTCTCGCTTTAAGCTTTTTGCTAACTGTTACTTCTTTCATGCTGCAGTTGTCCCGACGAATACAGGCTTGGAAAAACCGCTGCTCGCTGCTTTGAAAAAAGGTGATTGTTCGTGGCTCAATTTCACAAGGGAGAGAATTCGCCGCGTGCTAGGAACTGACATCCCACAGCCCGCTGCTGCTCTAAATTTCGAGATCAATCTGTTGAACCCACCTTCCATCAACCGTCCGGCTAATTTCCACCAGATCCCGATTGGTTAGTTCGAGCATTTTTTAGTTCGTCCGAACTATGCTCTTTGATTTGGCGAGCTGTTATATAGTTCGTGCTTTTTCGTTTTCAGGTACCAGCCGTCGGGAAATTCCAGACGCTACTTCTTCAAGCACCTCGCACCAGCCTCTGATTCGTAAGCCATCCAAGGGAAAAATGACTCGAAGACCATCAGCTCGTGAGGCCGAAAAGGCGAGGAAAAGCAGGGCTCAGGCTGGGAGCTCCGTAGCTGTCCGCACCGGTGAGATCCGCCGAGCTGTGAGTGACGCGCTCGAACAAGCCTCTGGGGCTTACGAGACACCGGCCGGAGGTCTTTCCGCCGACCCAACATCCAGGGCTATCTCGCTTAGTTCGCGAGATTCTGAGAGGACTTCTCGTCCAAAGAAGCAAAGGGTGGAGGATCCGGCTCCAGACAGGAGGTCGAATTCCTCAAACGGGTCAGGGGGAACGATCCCGTATGGTTGGACTTTCAACCATACTAAAGGGTGCCCCATCGCTGATGATCCGGAGGGGGTAGCTTTCATCTTTCGGCACTTCAAGCCTCCGGGTTGCGTGCTTCCTCCAGTTCGGGAGATGGCGGAGCATGCCGCCTACGTGAAGATGATGGCTGCTCACGGACGGGTATGTTTTTGTACTTGTTGGCTTATTTTTGTTTTCGGTTTGTGCTCGTATTAACGGGCGTTCTTTTTGGTCAGGCTCTTGAGGCTGTCAACGAGTACTCTGCTGTACTTGAGGAAGAGTCTCTGACCATGCCCACCTCCGACGAGCTCGAGGAGATGAAGAAGACCGTGTTTGACCTTTTTTCGAAGGTCAAGAACGCGGAAGACAAGGAGAAGCGTCAGGAAGCCCAGCTTCGATCTGCGAAGACGGTGGCGGACTCTGCGAGCCGGCGTGCTGATGATCTAACCGAACAGGTGCGTGGCCTCAAAGAGGAGGTCGATGTGAGGGTCAGGCGGGCTGTTAGGGAGGCGAAGCAAGAGTTCGCTGAGAAGTACCTGGCCATCTTCCACCCTCTTAAAGACAAGTGGGAGAAGAAGAAGGTCGAAGCTGCGTGCGAGGCCGAGCTCCAAGAGGTGGAATCCAACTTGGATCTCATCAAGGATCTGATCAGCGGGGCTATCACGGCTCCGGATGAGAAAGCTCGCCTCGAAGAGAAGATTCCTGAGCTTGTCCAAAAGCACGCTGATGCTGAAGTGTCTGATTTCTCTCTCGCCAAGCTCGAACTCCCGCAGATCTCGGAGGCGTCGGTGAGGCCGATGGAGGTTGATCCCAGGGCGCAAGTTCCGGTTGGCCTTAATCAGTTTGGTAGTAACGCCGCTGCTGCAGGTGGAGATGAGCTCGTGGATGACTCGGCGATCCCAATAGATGACTCGGCGATCCCAATGGAGAAAGGTGGTGGCGAGAACGAGCCTAAGGAGTAATCCTCCTTTTTCCTTAGCCCCTCCTCTTTTTCTTTTTTTATGAACTTAGTTGCCTGCAAGGCTTTTCATTTTGTTTCATCGCACTTTTAGTACTTTTGTTACCCGGGAGGGTTTTAATCCGTACTTGGTTGTTTTGCCTGGAGGAGGCTAATTTGTTTTCACTCTTCGATTTCGTCTAAGTTATTAATTTGCTTGAATGTCTTCTAAGACTTTAGAAAAAGGTTTCGAAAAGACTTTTTGTTTAGAGAGTGCCGAAGTGATTACTATGTGATCGTTTATGGAGATCGCGTCATAGTATTAAGTTGCGAGTAACGAATTGTGATAGTAAGCGCTAAGTTACTCAGCGAGCTACGAACTTTGCGATTGTTTGAACAAATCGTTTATTGATAACTTACTGCGAGTATTGGAGTTGCCGTAATTTTGTTTAGTGTTTGTTAGCAAACCGCAATCTATAAGTTATGCGACCATTTTTTGGGGGGTCGTTTGGAAGCTACCTAAAGTTAGCAGCGAACTAAGTTGAGATTGTTCGGCTCAATCGATACTTAGCGGGCTATGAGCCTCGAGCTGTGAGATCGTTTGAAGAGATCGAAAGAGAAAGTGTTTTGAAATAACAGTTTTTATTCACAAAACTTTGATTACATACGTTTTTACAAAGTATTTGAGTATGTAAAGATAGTGGCTGAACTCAATGGCGAGCTGCCTACGTACTCCGTCAAGGGATCAAGCCTGGACGTAGTTCGATTATTATTGATGCTCAGAGATGGTAACGTTTGAGATTCATAACGTTCCATGGTCTTGCCTCTGGCACTCCGGTTTTGTTGTTTGCGAGCTTATATACGCCGCTACGCACTACTTCGGTGACTCTATACGGGCCTTCCCAGTTTGTGCCTAGCTTGCCGGCGCCTCGCTCCTTAGTGTTGTCAAATACCTTGCGTAGCACGAGGTCGCCAATACTGAAGCTCTGGTGTTTGACTCCGGAATTGTAATAGCAAGCTGCGGCCTGCTGGTAATTCTGGATGCGGACTAGGGCTCGATCTCGTTGTTCCTCGATCATATCTAGCCGATCTCTTGCATTTCTTCATTAAGTTCTCCGTTATCCGGACAAAAGGTCCGATGGATGCTTGGTACCGATGCTTCGGCCGGGATAACAGCTTCCATGCCGTAGGCTAGAGAGAAAGGTGTTTCTCCCGTAGCTCGGTGGGGCGTAGTCCTACATGCCCAGAGTACCCCGGGTAGCTCGTCGCTCCACCAAGATTTCTTTGAATCCAACCTCTTCTTGAGGTTGCTTAGGACTGTTTTGTTAGCGGTTTCCGCCTATCCGTTACCTTGTGGGTATCGGGGTGTGGAGGATGTGAGCTTGATTTTCCAGGTGTTACAGAATCTTGCGAACTTCCTCGATGTTAAGTTCGTCCCGTTGTCCGTTACGATCTTGTAAGGGAGGCCGTGTCTGCAGACAATGTTTTTCCAGATGAAATTTTCGACTTCCGATCCGGTGATTTGTTGGTAAGTTCGGGCCTCTATCCATTTGGTGAAATAGTCAGTTAGGACGAGTAGGAAGCGGACTCTAGCGCTTCCTGAGACCACTAGTGGTCCCACTACATCCATCGACCATCTCATGAATGGGTAGGGTGCGGATATTAAGGATAGCTTTTCAGCTTGTTGATGGATCATTGGTGCGTGTCTTTGGCATTTGTCGCACTTCGTGGCATAATTTTCGCAGTCTGCAATGATAGTAGGCCAAAAATAGCCTTGTCTTTTGATGCGAACTGCCATAGCTCGTCCTCCGGAGTGGCTTCCCACATTCCTTCGTGCATTTCGGCCATAATTGTTAGGGCCTCGATACCGTGTACGCACAGGAGGTAGGGTTCTATCAAGCTACGCTTGTATAGTTTACCTTCCATTATGCAGTATCGGGCACTTTGAGCTTTTAACTTTCTTGCTGCCCATTTGTCGGTGGGAGCCATACCGTCCTGGATATACTCCATTATCGGAGTTCTCCAATCTGGTCTGTCTAAGAACTCTTTGCAGTCATCCAGTTCGTCATCGGGCTTTGGATGAGCGGATTGGTTCTCGGGGTTAGGCGGTGCATTGACCGGGTTGTCGGGTTGGTTGGTCGTAACCCCTGGTCCGGGTCTGTTGGATGGTCCGGTCTCGTCGGAGGCGGTTACTATGCTGACTGCCTTGGGGGCTAGATCGATGCTTGGTTTTTCGATTCCTTCTACGGGAATCACCCTTTTGACGATTGGGTCGGAGGTGGATGCTAGGGCTCCCAGGACATCGGCGGAGGTATTCTCCTCCCAGGAAATTCTGGTTAGCTCGAACGAACTAAATTGATTTGCTATTTGGCGGACGACGTTTAAGTATGCTTCCATTCGTTCATCTTTTGCTACATAGTCGCCATGAAATTGGCTGGTTACGAGCTGCGAGTCGCGGAATGCGCTTATTTCTCGGACTCCGATCCCGAGAGCTAGCCTGAGACCGGCTATGAGGGCTTCGTATTCGGCCTCATTGTTGGAGGCCTGGAATCCTAGTCGGAAAGATTGTTCGAGGACTTTGTTTTTTGGGGAGACTAGTTTGATTCCGACTCCTGAGCCTTGTTTTGATGACGCGCCATCCACGTGGAGTGTCCACTTTTATCTGGATGGTGATGCATCTTCGGGATCTGGGGTAAGCTCGATGACAAAGTCCGCTAAGACTTGGGCTTTTGCACATGTCCGGATTTTGTATTCTATATCGTACTCGCTTAGTTCGATAGCCCACTTCGCGAGCCGTCTGGATTGGCTCGGACTGTGCAATATAGTGCGAAGGGGTTGGGAGGTCATTACTACTATGGAGTATGATTGAAAGTATGGTCGCAACTTCCTGGCAGACATTACGACTGCTAGGGCTAGCTTTTCCATAGCGGGGTACCTAGTTTCGGCGTCTACTAGTGTTTTGCTCACATAGTAGATTGGTTTCTGCTCGTTCTGTTCTTCGCGAACAAGCACACCGCTTACTGCGGCGGGAGATACAGCTACGTAGAGATATAAAGGTTCTCCCTCGACTGGCTTGGCTAGTATGGGCGGTTCACTCAAGTATGCCTTGAGCTGTTTGAACGCCGTTTCGCACTCATCATTCCATTGAAACTTTTTGTTCTCTTTTAGGAGTTGGTAAAAGGGTAAACATTTGTCAGTCGATCTCGAAATGAAACGGTTAAGGGCTGCTATTCGCCCTGTTAACCTCTGGACCTCCCTAGTAGTTTTAGGGGACGGCATTTCGAGAAAGGTTGCGATCTGTTTAGGATTTGCTTCTATCCCTTTTTCGGTCACCATGTAACCAAGGAATTCTCTGGATGGTACTCCGAATGAGCATTTTGTCGGATTGAGTTTCATTCCGTACTGATTTAATATTGCGAAGCATTCTTTAAGCTGCGCAATATGGTCCTCTTCTTTTGAAGATTTAACGAGCATGTCGTCGATATAGACCTCCATGGTCTTACCGAGCTGTTTGGCAAACATTTTGTTGACTAGGCGCTGGTAAGTAGCTCCCGCGTTCTTTAGACCGAACGGCATTACTTTGTAGCAGTATGTGCCGTGGTCTGTTATGAACGCGGTTTTTTCTTGGTCTTCAGAGTTCATGAGTATTTGGTTGTACCCTAAGAAGGCGTCTATGAAAGACAATGGTTCGTGTCCTGCTGTAGCTTCTACCAATCGATCTATGTGAGGGAGTGGGAAGCTATCCTTCGGGCATGCTTTGTTTAGGTCGGTGAAGTCTACACAGACTCTCCACTTCCCGTTTTTCTTTTTAACCACTACCGGATTGGCTAGCCAATCTGGGTACTTAACTTCCCTAATTGAGCCGACTTTAAGTAGTCGGTCCACCTCGTCATTCACTGCTTTGGCTCGGTCTGGGCCGAGCTTGCGGCGTTTTTGTTTGACGGGTTTGAAGGTCGGGTTGACATTCAGTTCGTGGGAAGTTATTTGCAAGTCAATCCCAGGCATGTCCTCTGTGGACCATGCGAATGTTGCAATATTATCTTTGAGGAACTTTACGAGCTTGTCGCGGACAGAACTCGAGAGTTCTGATCCGATATTGACTACTCGGTCGGGGTGTTTTTCGTCGATACAGACTAGGATGACGAGGTCCTTGCGTGGACCGCGAGTCGTGGGGTTGTTTCCCTGTTTAGCCCGCTGCTCGGCGAGCTCTTCTTGTTTCTGTAGTTGCTACAAGGGGGATTGTTCGATCTGCTTATGTCCGGTCATGTAGCACATTCTGGAAGCTCGTACGCTTCCGCGGACTGTCTTGACTCCCTCAGCGGTTGGGAACTTCACGCATTGATGGTATGTGGAAGGTACTGCTCTCATGTTGTAGAGCCATGGCCTCCCTAGTATGGCAATGTAGGGGGCAGAGCGATCTACAACCTCGAATACTGTCAGTTGTTGGACTCCGCCAGCTACTACCGGAAGCGTGATTGTACCCATCGAATAGGTGGTTTCGCCCGCGAAGTCCGTTAACGGCGATCTGGTGCCGCAAAGTATGTCGTCACCGAAGCCCATTTGCTTGTATGCGTTGTAGAATAACACATCGACCGAGCTCCCGGTGTCAATCATAATCCTGGATAGCTCGCACCCCTGTACATCGAGACGAACTACTAGAGCATCGTCGTGTGGTTTGTCTAAATCGAGTGTTTCGCTTTCCAGGAAAACTACTTTGTGGTTGGGACCCTGTAAGGGAGCACGCTCCCGCATATCGGTCTCAACCCTTCTTTGGTAGGCTTTTTTTCGAGTTTACTGAATTTCGGCAGTATTTGGAGCCCCCAGATATGAAATTTATTTGCTTAGGCTTGGGTCACTCGAAGAGTTCCAGGATTCCCTGGGATTTGGGAAGTTCCGATTTTGCGGACTTGCGAGCTTCCACTAGCTGATTGCTAGTTTGCGGCTTTGCATCCTTTTTGGGAGCGGGTGGAGGTGAGATCACCGACTTCATAGATCCTCCGCACCGAGTTATTCCCCTAAATATGA